AGCCAGATTATACTAGCCTGATACTCAGAGATTTAAAGAAATAAAAAAGCTGTTGTGCAGCCTTTCAGCCCCACAAGTCCGTGGGAGTCTTTCCGCTCCCCAAACTGGCACAAGATAGCTTGCACATGTTCTCTTTGGATGTCAGGGCCCTGACCCCAGCAACAGAATGGGCCACGGATGTGCTAAATTCAACTGTGGGTGATGATATGTTGCCTGCTGACCTTAAAGAGGTGCTCATACACCCACCCTGGACCCAATGGACTATAACAACTATGGACCCAGCACCAGCACCCATTTCTTGGCAAGGTGATTGTGGCTTTGCCAGTGTGGTGTAGTGGTTAAGAGCGGTAGTCTCGTAATCTGGTGAACCAGGTTCGCGACTCCGCTCCTCCACCTGCAGCTGCTGGGTGACCTTGGGCCAGTCACACTTCTTTGAAGTCTCTCAGCCCCACTCACCTCACAGAGTGTTTGTTGTGGGGGAGGAAGGGAAAGGAGAATGTTAGCCGCTTTGAGACTCCTTAAAGGGAGTGAAAGGCGGGATATCAAATCCAAACTCTTCTTCTTCTTCTCCTCCTAGGTGACATCATGCTGGGTCATAAGGAAAGGGTTAAATTAGTGTGAAGTGATTGGCAAGTGGGAACCCAAGGGGAGGAATTAGAGTTAGTGTTGTTAAGGAGTCAGTCAGGTGTTAGAGAGAGGGAGGATAAGTCTGTGGGTTGGGATAGTTTGATGTGAGAGAATCTGTTAAGAGGAGTCAGATAGACAGTTGGGATAATCAGTTAGAAGTTATTAGGAAGGTATAGGCCGGTAAAGAAACTAAGATTAAGAAACTGACAAGAAAAATGATCTGAAACCATAAACTTGTTAAGGCTTATAAAATAAACTTGTTTATTTGGTTTAATCTTAACAACGGTCTGGACTCCGTGTGTACCCGAGAGAAACGGGTTGGTGGCAGTGGGGAAGCAATCACAGTGGTAGCATAGGGATCAATAGACCGTCAAACGTCCGGGGACCCTGTGTGATCGCCACAGCGATGAAGAAGAAAGCAGTTGTGGAGCAACTGAAGGTATTCATGGATGGACTTCTGGATATACTCCAATCTGGTTTCAGACCCAGTGTTGGATTGCCCTGGTGGATGACCTTTCTCATGTGAGAGACACCCTATTCCTTCTGCTTTACCATTCAGTGGCTTTTGACCATGATATTCTCTTGAACTGGCGCTGTGAGATCGGTATTGGTGGCACTGTATTACAGCACCTCTGTTCTTACCTTCAGCGCCATGTTCACAGAGTAGCACTGGGTGAGTGCTTGTTGGCCTCCTGGCACTCGGTTCCGCAAAATTTGATTCTCTCTTCAGTGCTATTTAACACCAATATGAAGCTGTTGGGAGCAGTCATTAGGAGTTTTGGAGCAAGGTGTTATTAGTACACTCTTAGGACTGGCAGCCCAATTTCTCCAGAACATCTGAATCAGGAATGGCTATGAAAGGTCTGGGCTGGTGTCTGTCTGGTTCACCAGCTACAATTGTGCCTGGACAGGGATAGCCTGACCACTATAGACCATGCACTGGTAATCCATGAGACTGGATTACTGCAATGCACTTTGTGTGAGGCTGCCCTTGGGCCTGGTCTGGAAGCTCTAGCTGGTTCAGAATATGGTAGCTAAAGTGCTGATGAGACAACATGTGACACCATTGTTAAAGCATTTGTACTGGCTGCCCATCTAATACCAAGACAAGTTCAGGATTCTTGTATCAATGTATGAAGCTCTTAAAAAATTAGACCAAGGGTACCTTAGGGACCGGGACGCGGGTGACGCTGTGGGTTAAACCACACAGCCTAGGACTTGCCAATCAGAAGGTCACGGTTTGAATCCCCGCGATAGGGTGAGCTCCTGTTGCTCGGTCCCTGCTCCTGCCAACCTAGCAGTTCGAAAGCACCTTAAAGTGCAAGTAGATAAATAGGTACGGCTCCAGCGGGAAGGTAAACGGCGTTTCTGTGCACTGCTCTGGTTTGCCAGAAGTGGCTTAGTCATGCTAGCCACATGACCCGGAAGCTGTACACCGGCTCCCTCGGCCAATAAAGCGAGATGAGCGCCACAACCCCAGAGTCGGCCACGACTGGACCTAATGGTCAGGGGGCCCTTTACATTTACCTTAGGGACCACTGAGCCCTTATATTCCAGCTCAGTCATCAAGATCATCTGCAGAAGCGTTGCTAGTCACCCGCTGACTTGGTGAGGTTGATCTGACAGCAATAAGAAACCCAGCCTCTGTAATGGTTAGCTGATGATCTCTGATTTTAAACGTTCACATGGTTTTTATTGTATATAGATATCCTTGTAAACTGCTATGATATTTTTTTTTAAATGATATAGCTGTATATAAAGATTTTTTATAAATTTACAAATAAACTCTAAGGCACAAGAAAGCTCTTTCTCAGGTCTTTGCTGCCTGAAGAACAGCAGCCGTGCTCTATCAAGCCCAGAGCCATTAAAAGAGAATTAGAAAAGGAATGCCACCTTCATATACATAGAACCCTAAAGATTGATGAGCCCATCTCAGTTCTTTGCCATCCGGCTCCACAAACTATCAAGCTCAGTTATAAAAAGGTCAGATATAGTATGCTTTATATCTCCTTTGGCTAACTGAGTGTGTCAGCTGAGCACAGGAGAAGGCTTCACCATTGATTTACGTTAATGTCCATTGTGTTGAAAATTGCTCAGTCACAACAACCATGGAATCTCTTGTCCCAAATAATAAAGGATCACAAAATATAAACACTACAACCCCCGTAACCCAGCTTCTCAGTTATCCCATTTATTGTGCGTTTCAAATGCTTAGTTCCAAAACCTAATGTCTCTGGATAAGTCCCTTCATTGGAGCTGTTATTATAAACCCCTATTAATATTGGTATTTCTCATCAAAAGGAAACAAACTCCATGGTAAGTCACATTTGCAGAGTACCTGAGATAGACTGAAGGAAACTGTTACACACAACCCCATTTCTAATACTGTTTGCACCTGCAAAAGCTACTGCTTCATTTCCAATTAGTGTTATGTCCTGCAATTTCCTACTGAAACTCTGTATCTTTTTATTCTGCAAATGTTCCAGTTTATTTTTGGTCCTGGTTTTGGTTGCACTATAGAGCAAAACACTCCTCCAAACACTAATGCAATAACATTGAGTAAACCTCAGCATGGGTAGGCAAACTAAGGCCCAGATCTGGCCCAATCACCTTCTAAATCCGGCCTGCAGATGGTCCGGGAATCAGTGTGTTTTTACATGAGTAGAGTGTGTGCTTTTATTTAAAATGCATCTCTGGGTTATTTGTGGGGCATAGGAATTCGTTCATTTTTTCCCTCCAAAATATAGTCCGCCCCCCCCCAAGGTCTGAGGGACAGTGGACCGGCCCCCTGCTGAAAAAGTTTGCTGACCCCTGCTCTAGCGTAAAAGAATCTCTACTTGTATGTACTTCCATATATTGTTGTGGGAGAAAGCAAGCCCACCTGCACTTAACAGTAGCAGGGCTGTTCTATACTGAGAAAAAACTAAATGGAGGGGAATGTAATTTTGGCTATGTAGATATGGGGAGGGGTCTGCTCTTATAAGTAGCTGTTGACAAGGATGTACATCCCTCTCTGCATCTGGTTGCTATCTGGTGCTGACAGGTTTTCACTTATTACTCTGATTTTGTTGAACCGTGTATCTATTTCTAAGTCCATTTTAAAGGACTGTGCTGCTGTTGGACTGTGTGAGTCTGCCTACTCTCTACGACTGGAGACAAAGGCCAACCATAGTTAAATTCACGACTGGTCCAAGACAATTTGCTGCCTGAAGTGAAGGACAAGATGCCCTTCCAGAGAGGGATGCCAACTGGATTAGCAGTTGTGTCATACTTCAGTATTGCCTGTCTTCACCATACCTGAGGACAGTAGGCTAGCTTAGGGGTGAGGAGACAGAGCAGAATGTATAGCACCTTAACCCTCCCCCCACAACATTTCACTGCTCCATTTCCCCACAACTTGCCACCTGAGGCAGCCACCTCATTCTACCTAAAAGTAGCGCTACCCCTGGAGAATTTTGGCAGACGGATACACGAGACTGGGCCTTTAGTGTGGTGGCACCAGGATTGTAGAACTCGCTACCATTACAGATCTGTCACATTCTCTCCTTGTGTAGTCTTAGACATTTACTGAACGTTGTTCAGGTCAGCTTAGCAAGTTTGATAGCCTTTAATTTGCTGCTCTAGTGTTTTAAGCTTCTATCATTGTTTAAACTGAGCTGTTTTTAATGTGTGCATGTGTGTTTTATTGACACATTTTAATTGTTTTAATCCTATGTGATGGCTGTGATGTATTTATCTTTTTGCAAGTGGCTTTGCATACTTGTGTAGAAAAGCAGAATTAAAATAAAAAAACCAAACAATTAAACACAGTTATATTCATCCAAATCCCACCAATTAACTGGAGGTATTTTGTGACCAGCGGTCTTTACCCTGAGCCACTAGTAGGCATGATTTGTTGACCATAATTACAGCTGGACTGCAGGTCAAGAGGAGCAGGGGTCACTACAAAATTATTCGGGGAAAAGGAGGAGGGAACAAATACAGAATTGGGGAGATTTACAATAGTGACAAATAATGAGGAGTTTGTTGTAATTTGTTCTGTCCAAACCAACTTTTGATGAAGGGGTGGTATTTCTTTAAAACGTCTGCAGTCTCTGTCATTTACTTTTCTAACAAGCAGCTTTGAAAGGGTTAGGAAACAATGAAGCCCTTAAGTCTAGGTAAGCAAGTCACAACCCTGAAGCTTGAGGAATGGGAACTAACTCAGCACAGGAGGGATGTACAGGCTTCCAAACAGTAGAGGATCAGCTACAAAGAGCTACAAAGCACAGGCCTGCCCACCACTTGTCTATGCAATAAATGATAAATGTTTTGCTAAACTAGCCACTGGAAATTGCAATATATTTTGATAAACAACACACACACACACACACACACACACACACACACACACACAGCAATTCTTTCCAAGCCCTGCATCTCCATACCAGAACATCTCTCTCTCTCTCTCTCTCTCTCTCTCTCTCTCTCTCTCTCTGTGTGTGTGTGTGTGTGTGTGTCTTGTCTGTCTGTCTATCTCTCCCATAATGCTAAGGCTTCCCAGCAAAACTGGGGGCCCATAGACCTTAATCACACAACACAAACTATGGAATTCACTGCCACATGATGTGGTGGTGGCCACAGTCTTAAAGGTAAAGGTGAAGGGACCCCTGACCATTAGGTCCAATCGTGGCTGACTCTGGGGTTGCGGCGCTCATCTCGCTTTATTGGCCAAGGGAGCCGGCATACAGCTTCCGGGTCATGTGGCCAGCATGACTAAGCTGCTTCTGGCGAACCAGAGCAGCGCACAGAAACGCCATTTACTTTCCCGCCGGAGCGGTCCCTATTTATCTGCTTGCACTTTGAGGTGCTTTCAAACTGCTAGGTTGGCAGGAGAAGGGACCGAGCGACGGGAGCTCACTCCGTTGCGGGGATTAGAACCGCCAACCTTCTGATCGGCAAGTCCTAGGCTCTGTGGTTTAACCCACAGCGCCACCCTTGCCCCTTGGCCACAGTCTTAGAAGCCGTTAAAAGATTTTACATGTTCGTAGAATTGTAGAGTTGGCATGGAAGGGATTCCAAGGTGAATCTAGTCCTGCCACCTGACATGCAAGAATCTCAGCTAAAGCATTCATGACAGGTGGCCATCTAACCTCTGCTTAAAAACCTCCAAGGAAGGAGAGTCCACAACTTCCAGAAGGAAACCATTCCACCATCAAACAGCTCTTACTGCCAGAAAGTTTTTCCTGATGTTGAGTTGGAATCTCCTTTCTTGTAACTTGAAGCCATTGCCTCGAGTCCTACCCTTCAGAGTAGAAGAAAAATGAGCTTGTCCCCTCTTCCATGTGACAGCCCTTGAGATATTTGAAGATGGCTATCCTATCTCCTCTCAGACTCCTCTTTTCCAGGCTAAACATACCCAGCTCCTTCAGCCTCATGGAGGATGAATCTAGAAGTGGCTACTAGTCCCGATGGCTGGATATGGAACCTCTAGATTCAGAAGTACTATTGCTTGGGAGCAAAAGTGGGAGAGGGCTATTGTGCTCATGTCCTGCTTGCAGGCCTCTCATAAGACACCTGGTTGGCTACTTTGGGAATGAGGATGCTGGGCTATATTGACTTTTGGGTTGATCCAGTAGGGCTTTTTCTTGCGTTCTTATGGAGATATTGAGCTGTCAAGACTTGCAACAGAGTAAAGCTAACTGTTTGAGGCTGTACTTGAGCTGGGGATGGGGGAATGATAGGGAAGGCAAGAAGTGCAGCAAGAGATGTTAGTGTTGACCCTACTAGTGATGGTTGTTGAACAGCAGGTGTTGTCTCAGGTGCTGACTTCTAGTCTATCATGCTATCTATCAGGGATGCCTGTCTCTGCCTTATATTTTCTCTGCATAACGTGAAAAGCTCTCTTTCCACACATGCTTTAGAACCTATGGGGGATCATGATCCATGTAAAATACTGGCGCATAGGAATTTGTATTAGAGTGATATTTACCAGTATTATTATATTCCTATCTGCATTAGAAATTTCCCTGTGCAGTTGGCGTAACATAAACAATACAAAAACAATTAAGAAACCAATAAAACAAATCTGAACAATTGTAGTACTATACACAGATTTGAAAGGCAGGAATATTTTATGATATCTTTTGATAAGGGGAAGAAAAAACTTAAAATGGTTTGATGGGAAGCTGCTGCCCTATAGATATTTCCTTGTGTTACAAATAATACATACCTTGTGTTACAAATAATACATAGGTACAGTGGTACCTCTGGTTAAGAACTTAATTCATTCTGGAGGTCCGTTCTTAACCTGAAACTGTTCTTAACCTGAGGTACCACTTTCGCTAATGGGGCCTCCCGCTGCCGCCGCATGATTTCTGTTCTCATCCTGAGGTAAAGGTCTCAACCTGAGGTACTACTTCCTAGTTAGCGGAGTCTGTAACCTGAAGTGTTTGTAACCCAAGGTACCACTGTACACTGTTAGTGATGGAAAGAGTCTGGCCCATCACAAAGAACACAGCATAATATGCAACCGAGGGCTAGCTGATATACATGCTAAATTGGCCTAATCCTGAAAGGCATCTTAATAGGTGAGCATCACATACACACAAGGAGGGAATGTGAGCTATGTGTCATGGAGAGGAGAGAACAAGCCTATAGTGATGACAGAGGGAAGGTTAACAGGACAGATAATCTGAATTAGTACGTACCCCAAAAGGCTAGCACCAGATTCCTGGCTGAAGCTCATTAAATGAAATGTTTACCAAAGGTAATAGATAGTAGTAGCCTGAATTGGTAGGGAGAATTCCAGAAGAAAACAGTAGAGTATTGATTTGGGACCGGAGGGAATAGGAATTCCTTGATTGACTCACCTAGACAATGACAAGCCCTAAGGCTCCTGCCCCTGTGGCTTAACAATCCAGCTTTGAAGGGCAAAACTCCCAGGTTGAAAACCAGAGGCACAAAACCGCCATTGCGGCACCAGTTTATAGGGCTATTGGTCGAGTTTACAGTTCTGCAGTGATGGTGAGAAGCCAGGCTTCTGGGTCCTGACCTTGGTTATACCTCAAGCAACACTGTGGTCAGATATTTTTCTGGGTGTAAGAAAAGGAAAATCTGGATTGTGGGTTAACACCACAAAAAATACCTCAACTATTTTAGATCACTCTGAAAAGTGAAGCGCATGGGGTTGTTGGACATAGAGCTCTTGGTATGGAGAGTAAAAAAGGTAAAGGGACCCCTGACCATTAGGTCCAGTCGTGACCAACTCTGGGGTTGCGGCGCTCATCTCGCTTTATTGGCCAAGGGAGCCAGTGTACAGCTTCCGGGTCATGTGGCCAGCATGACTAAGCCGCTTCTGGCGAACCAGAGCAGTGCATGGAAACGCCGTTTACCTTCCCGCCGGAGTGGTACCTGTTTATCTACTTGCACTTTGAGGTGCTTTCGAACTGCTAGGTTGGCAGGAGCAGGGACCGAGCAACGGGAGCTCACCCCGTCGCGGGGATTCGAACCACCAACCTTCTAATTGGCAAGCCGAAGGCTCAGTGGTTTAGATATTGTCGTTCCTTGCTTGTGAACTGCCCTGTGGCATCTGACTGGCAACTGGTGGGAGAGAAAACGCAAAACTATAACATTGGTCAGAGCCAGCATGGTCACCCTGCTTTTCTTGTTTCTGTGCCAACCACAAGGGCTTATGGGGAAACCCTTTGCAACAGCACTTCTAGAGAACTTCCTTTAACTCATAAGGCCTCCCTGCCCCAACCCCTTTTTTTTTAAATTATTTTTGCTTCATCTATCATCTAACTTATTCTAGTTGAGCTGTAGTGCAGTTTTAGGACTGCCACCCTAAAGCTTCAAAGAAAATCTGAATATAGCCCTAACATGATAAAAGGAAATGGTACTTTGGGGGGGGGGAAGCATGATGTATATTCGGGGGGGGGGGGGAATAATACTATAAAGAAAGATATCCCATGAGGTGTGTAGCCATTTGGTGCCACACCAGCACAGTGGCAACGGAATGGCAAGGTCACGGCTAGCTGGAACCCTGAATCAGAGAACTTCGCACTGCAGCTTTTTGTTGCAGGTCCTGCTTGGATTTTATATTCTCTGCACATCCTAGGCACATAGGATATGATATGCGTTACCGTAACCTGTTTACTGAATAAAGGTAAAGGTAAAGAGACCCCTGATCATTAGGTCCAGTCGTGACTGACTCTGGGGTTGCGGTGCTCATCTCGCTTTATTGGCCGAGGGAGCTGACGTACAACTTCTGGAGCAGCGCACGGAAATGCTGTTTACCTTCCTGCTGGAGCGGTACCTATTTATCTACTTGCACTTTTGACATGCTTTCAAACTGCTAGGTTGGCAGGAGCAGGGACCGAGCAACAGGAGCTCACCCAGTCACAGGGATTCAAACCGCCCACCTTCTGACTGGCAAGTCCTAGGTTCTGTGGTTTAACCCACAGCGCCACCCACGTCGCTACCGGTATCTTTTACAATTATGTCTCATATCTCCGTAAATCTGTCTGTCCAGTTTTCCTCCTAAGCCAATTTGTCAGCACGTGGGTGGGAAAATTACTGTTGCTGGAAAGCAGGCGGGGAACGGAAACTGCAACATTTCACTCCCACCTACACAAATGCCTCTTCCTCTTAGGAATGACACGAGGGGACAATCACCACTTTCTCCTGCGTTTAGGAAGGCGCTGGGGTCTTTTGACGCCGACAGCAATTGCCTTGATCCCTACACCCTATCCCAACTCTGTTTGCATACCTACAAATCAAATATTTGGATGCCTGGTGTTACTTCACACTAAGGAAAGGGAAAGAAGACTATCATCTGCAGGTCTGGAAGCAAGGGTCTGGACCGCGCATATATCAAAGTGTTGGTGCTGACCTTTAAAGCCCTAAACGGCCTCAGTCCAGTATACCTGAAGGAGCGTCTCCACCCGCATCGTTCAGCTCAGACACTGAGGTCCAGCGCCGAGGGCCTTCTGGCAGTTCCCTCACTGCAAGAAGCCAAGTTACAGGGAACCAGGCAGAGGGCCTTCTCGGAAGTGGCACCCGCCCTGTGGAACGTCCACCCATCAGATGTCAAGGCAATAAGCAACTATCTGATGTTTAGAAGACATCCCTGTTTAGGGAAGTTTTTAACATCTAATGCTGTATTGTGTTATTAATATTTGGTTGGGAGCCGCCTAGAGTGCCTGGGGAAACTCAGCCAGATGGGCAGGGTATAAATAATAAGTTGTTATTATTATTATATATTATTATAAATGCAGATTGGAAGGTGAACAACAACTGGCGCATGTACTCTCTGCATGTTCTCTCTGTTGTGAAGGCTTTTTGCCAGCTGTATACGATATTCACCAAAAGAGGCCAGCTGTTAGCATGCAGAGGCTCGGGCCCACACTGGTTTGTGAACAGATCTGCCACTGAAAGGGTGGTAGCTAAGGCTTCCTTGGGGCAGCCTTGGGCTGGGAGCTATTACATTCCTTGCCTACCCCAGTGAAGTTTTAGCAACAGCCAAGACCCTCCTACTGTATCCAACAGGCCAAGTGGGTCATAGTAGAAGCAGGTCTTTGGGGATATATGAGACACCGACAGGCAGCCTACCTTAGAATGGTACTTACTTTGAACAAGGGGGGCAAGGAGCCTAAAAACCTACTTGTAACACCTGCCTCCTAATCCCAGCAAGGGAGAAAATTGAAGGTATTCAGTGATTCATGTTATACATTATACCAGGCTTCCTCAAACTCGGCCCTTCAGATGTTTTGAGACTACAGTTCTCATCATCCCTGACCACTGGTCCTGCTAGCTAAGGATCATGGGAGTTGTAGGCCAAAAACATCTGGAGGGCCGAGTTTGAGGAAGCCTGCATTATACAGTATACGTTCAACCAGCCTACATACATGTAAGAAATAAGATTCCATTAGCATGTAGTTTACAATATGAGAAGCCTGAGCGGCAGGTCCCAGCATAATTATTGGAGAAAGTAGGTCAGCTGGCTTTAAAAGTGCTAGCAGGAGTTGGGAGAGACCCTCATACAACTACAGCAACAGTCTATCTCCTTGTGCGCTGCAAAGAAATTTAAGCAACGAAAGTGGGTGAAGTGACAGAATTCAGCCCTGGTGGGTCAAATCCAGCTGCGCCCTAGAATTAAGCAAGTGTTTCGATCGTGGCTTTATGTACTACATCCCCCAGAATGCCTTTGAACATGTTTGTTTCCATCAGCATCTTTCCCAAATCTTTGTGATTAAGAGTGAAACCGCTATTAGTAAGAACGGAAAGAACCTTCTTCTTAGCGAAGTAGAAATATGCCATTTGATCTCCGCCTTGATGAAACTGGTAGGAACACTGAGCTCTTCTTCTTCTTCTGGTTTCTGTCACTTCTCTTCAGCCTTGACTCTCCAGGTGTTACTGGACTAAAACTCCCATCCTCCCCAGTCAGTTTAGCCAGTTATAGGGGTGATGGAAGATACAATCCAGAGTTTCCCAAACTTGGGTCTCCAGCCGTTTTTGGACTACGAATCCCATCATCCCTAGCTAACAGGACCAGTGGTCAGGGATGATGGGACTTTTAGTCCAAAAACAGCCGGAGACCCAAGTTTGGGAAACCCTGATGTAGTCCAACATCTGAGGACCCAAGGACTGATGAACACAGTTCTATATGCTGCCTGGCTTTGCTGGAACAACAGACAAAATCCACTTCTAATTATCTTCACCCAGTCTAATTTTTCCTCAGCACTTAGAGCTCAGCTGAATTTATTAAAAGAGAAGCTAAGAAATGTTCAAGTCTTTAGGGCAAATATCTAGAACCTGGTATCCTCCAGATACTTTGAACGACAGCTCCAATCAAACCTAGTCAGCACGGCCAACGTCAAGGATGATGGGCAGTGTAGTTCATCCAGCAACACCTGGGGGGCCACAGGTTCCCACTCCCCTGCTGAAAATCACAGTCCAAAACTACCCCGTTGTATGCATATGTCAATAATATATTGGTTGTCACTTATTGGGCCTGAAGCAAGAAAAAGGTGAAGTCCAGAAAACTTTATTCACTCACCCCATACCGCTGAATATAGGCTCATTCCAAACAATAAAAACCTTGAAGGAATATTTCTTGTTCCTTCCTGCACCACCCCGCTGTGACTATCAACTACTTTTTAATTTTTTTTAAGCGGAGTCTTGGTCTATCTCAAACCTTACGTTAAGGGTAGCCAAATTCTGTGTGATTGCCATAAAACTTAGGGAACAAGCTGTGCTATCATAATCATTAAGGTTTTAAATGATAATTTTAGGTTATATGTTAGTGACTAAGTTTTAATTTATATATATTTTTAACTGTTGCTATATATGTATTGTCCCTGTCATACCTAATTGCAAATTCAAATGTATCCCTATCGTGTTTTACGACTTCCTTGATATTGTATGTGGGCTGGAACTGGTCTGTGACCGAAATAATAAAATTCAATTCCATCTCAAACCTGCTAATTATAATTTCACTGCACTTCTCAACGTATGTTTCTGGCTCTTGGTTGTCATCTCCACACCCATGATGGCAGACCTAAATAGAAACAAGTAGCTCCACAGATCTGTGCACTGCAAAATGTTTCTGAAGTCTAATAGCACATGCACTTGCTGCAGAGCCAGTTCAGTGCATTACACACTCCAACAAGGTCCTTTTGAAAGCAGGAAATTTTCCTTTGATGCTGCCACATTGATGCCATTGGTCTGTTGCAGTTCTGTTTAGCTTCCATGTGTGTCTTGGTAAGTTTTGTTGGGGACTTCATAAAAGGGGGTCCGTGGTGAGGCAGGATATTCACTAAAACATTTATACAAATAAAGGAGTCTCTTGCAGGACCTACCCTTTGATTCAGGGGACAGCTTTGAGATACCTTTGTGTAGTTTCATTTTCCTATAATAGGTTTTAGAGCACCACCTTCTGGAGAACGTCTGTGGTTGCATGCTGCAACCACCTGTTTACAGAGCTACCAACTGACAAAACAAGAAGTGCTGAAATGCAGAATCTCAGTTCAATTTTCTCTTTTAAAAATCCAAAACAGGTTGGACTCAACCAAGAGAAAGCAACATCAAAAGCCAGCCACTAAGCTGATGCAATCAGCATCCAGAAACTGCATTTTTTTAAACAGACTTACAATGTAAACCTATGCATCTCTGCCCAGAGGTTAAGTTCACTGACTCCAATTAAACTCACTTACAGGTAAGTACTATAGAACCACAGCCTTAGTCTGCACTGGGTTGCTTCTAGTTTAAGATAATGTATGGCTTGTACAAAAAAAAAACAACCAAGCCAAGATGAAAAGATAACCCAAAAGGGAAAAAGATCAGGCAGAGAAATAATAGCTCAGGTGAGGCCTTGACAAACACACAAGTCCTGTTTTGGAGGCCTAGGATAGCAATTGAGTCCCTTTAAACCAAGGAAAGGAATAGCAGGAAGACAAGGCCAGCCTGACATCACGGGCCAAGCCTTCTCCAAGAAGTTGCAGAATGTGACCTGGTACTTTAGCATAAACAAACAGCTTGCATTAGAGATCATCCTGTTTTTTCTTCTCCCTTGGGCCTTGCAAGAATTCACCCCACGCATTTTCGTTTGAATGCCGTGAGTCCAGCCAAACAGAAACGAGGATGAAATGAGCAAAGGCTGCAGGTCAGTTGGCAGAGACATGTAGACGAGAGAGACTTGCAGAGAAGTGGCAAAGGTAATGAGACACAGCAATAGCAGGGTGTGGTGAAGATATTGGGCTTAACGTTAAAGCACATGCTAGCGCTAGCACTTTCTCTCCTTTGCTGGTAAGCCAACAGGCTGCTAAAAAGCTCTGTCATGGGGAGTAAAATTCGCTGCCCATTCTATCAGCGAGATGCAATGATTCGGGGACTTCCTTGCACTTTTCCCTCAGCTGCTTGGAGCTCAACCCACAAGCCCTAAGGAGGAGAGAATCGTGGGATAACGGCTTCTCTACAATACCATTATGAAAGAAGTAGTGGATTTGCTGTACTCCTCCCCTGCAAGCAAGGACATAAGGTAGCAAAATATCACTACTTAATCATTATTTAATGGAAGAGTGGGGTGTAACTCTCGCTTTAAGGTGTTACTCTTTTCAGCCTCCTTAATTTGGCCTACAGAACTGTACTGAAGTTATTATTATTCTTTATTAAATTTAGATACCGCCCTTCACAAACTTTCTAACAATTCCTGGATTTACACATAAGTCCTTAGACACATATTGCAATTAGTCCATTGGCAGTGTGTGTAACTGCGTATATGCCTCCTAAATTTTAATAAACTGGATCTAGAGCTTATAAGTACAGCTATTTGCACAGCTTCATCTGCCAGTTAATGTCATTAGTTTCCACCATAAGACAAATCCAGGGATAACATTAATCCTCTCCTTTAAATGATGGGGGTGGGGGGAGCGAAGCAAGAAATTCCGAAAATGTGTAGCTGCATTGTGAAAGGAAAAGGTAATAATGATTCTCCAAGGCCAAGACTCTCCAAGGCATTTATATTTATAGAAAGGGGAATACACATGGTATTAAATATATGTATGTACATACAAATCTGAACTTTTTAAAAAAAGTAACCTTCAATAAAACAAGTTTGGACAGTTAAGAGCAAACTGTCCATGCTAAATCTTGGGGGTTTAATCCACCAGTTTCTTAACTGATTTGATCACAGTCCTTGGACAGTAGAGGCAAACAGCATGTATTTCCCAGGATCAGGGAAGAGCAAACCAAGCACTTTAGAAAGACAGGGACCCGGTTCTCTCCAAGAGTCACTTTGCATCCAAAGCCAGACGTGACCATTTGCTTTATGGGGTGGTGCAGGATACCTCCTTTCAGTAGTCTTGCAACAGAACTGTGGAACATTTTTTGACTCAACGTAGAAGCAAAAAGACCATTTGGTATAATCCTGAGTATCTGCATCATATTTGGGCAGCTCCTGGAAAAACTAAAGTCTATCTTCATCTTCTCCTAACTTTGGGGCCTAGATAAATCTTTTGCATGGTAAGCACTGAATTAATATTTTCTAGCAGGGATATTTACCGGAGGAGGGGGGCGATTCCCTTGACCCTCTTCTTGTATAGTTTGTAGGACACCCAGCATGGGGGTAAGAATTTAATTCCCAATCTTGCACAGCAATAAGATATATGCTTCTTTTCTACATGTTGCCTTAATATTACCATCAGCCAAACCAAGTCTTTCCTGGGCAACTAGGCACCCTCTAAGGCTCACCTTTCCTCCAAGTCTCAGGTGACTTAGGAGGTGTCTGATAGTGTGACAATTGGAGTACAGCAGAAGTTACAGTCCAAGCGTCCTTGTGGACTAAAAGTGAAGAATCAGCTAATGTTATTGGTGGTAGTCATACTCCTGCTGAAGGGGGAAACTGCTGAACAATTACAGAAGCATCTCATTGAGAAAGTCACCTTAAAGGAGATCCCATGGCTCTAGGCAGGCTGCTCCATCCCAACACCTGTCCACGCCACATCTTCATGATGACACTTCCAGGAAGCCGTCCGTCGGAGCTCTTTGGTATCACGGGATCAGTGTCGACAATTGCAGTGGAAAGACGAGGGTCTTTGTCCAGCTGGAAGTTACCGGGTTATGGATTAGTCCAGAGGAGCCGGAGTCATCTGGATTTTTGACACTAACCAGAACACACTTTTTTCCCTTTTGAAACAGCCCTTTTGCTACCTGATGTAGAAAGCCTGGCATCCAAGCAGGCCTAGGAGATTTCACTCCCAACTCTCGTGGAGTCCTCAGCGCTGAAAAGGGCGCCGCACTTTCTTCCGCCGTTTCTGCTTCGAATCTCCTTTCTGGGAGGTACTGTCCACCTTTGATGGAGGGGCAGGAGGGGTTGGCACGCTCCCCGGGGACGGCGGTTGGGGCGTGCTGAAAAAGTTCCCGTTCGGCATTTGTCCGTGGTTCCCTTGGAAGATGCGGTTGAAGAAATCCTGCAGTTCTGCAGCTGAAGCAGGGCTGCCGTCTGAAGCAGCTCTTTCGAAGGGGATGGGGAGAGCAGAGGAAAGGGAAGAACAAATGATACTATCAGATCCAGCACTGACTGCCACAGACCATGAAGCTCGGCTTAACAGTAAAAGCAGGAGGTGGAAGGTACACTTCGGAGCTTTCAACTATGTCAGAACCCTCTTCACCACATGCAAAAGGTGCCAAATTTCTATATGGTTTCAATGGGACCAGTTTCAGCACAGGTTATGAGGACTCTAGGGTCAAGAATGTGGTCTCTGGGTATTAAATACTCTACATTCAAGTTGCTGTACTAAAGTGTATCAGCCTATTGAAAAAGGCCAGAACTAGCACTGCTCATGCACAGGAGTTGGAGGCAAGTTATCTGGAACACTTTATAACTGTGACTAACCCATAAAGGTAAAGGTAAAGGGACCCCTGACCATTAGGTCCAGTCGTGGCTGACTCTGGGGTTGTGGCACTCATCTCGCTTTATTGGCCGAGGGAGCTGGCATACAGCTTCCGGGTCATGTGGTCACCATGTCTAAGCCGCTTCTGGCGAACCAGAGCAGCGCATGGAAACGCTGTTTACCTTCCCGCCGGAGCGGTACCTATTTATCTACTTGCACTTTGACGTGCTTTCGAACTGCTAGGTTGGCAGGAGCAGAGATCGAGCAACGGGAGCTCACCCCGTCGCAGGGATTCGAACCGCCGACCTTCTGATCGGCAAGTCCTAGGCTCTGTGGTTTAACCCACAGCGCCACCTGCGTCCCGCGTGACTAACCCATAGAAACTGGCAACTGCAATGAAAAATGTGTTCCAAATTTCCAATGAATTGGGGGGGGGGCAGGGAAGTAGTCCTAGACTCACGAGCTGCAGACAGAAAGAAAACTGAACACCTGTTAGCTAAATACTTAGAACTAAGATGAGTTGTTCCCTGCCTGTGCATACAGGCTGTTTTAACACAACCATCACTGGCAAGCCATGTTGTATAAGGACATCAGAACCCAGATCATCTCCATGCAGAAGAGCTCTGATTGTGCCCAGCACTCCCCCGTGTATTTATATAGGAGCTGGACCACTTGTGGCCTCTTGTATGTATGGAGCAGATCCACTCCCCACATTGTACTGAATGGGAATCCTCACTCACAGAATATAGTACACAGGTCTCTGGATGGGGTTCACAGAGCCTGGTATCACTTTAAAAGTTAAGGAAGGACTCATCCGTGTGCAGACTAGGGGACAGAACATTTTTTAAGGGGAACGAATAAACAACATCATTCATCACTGACCTCTGCCGTCCTCCTGAGCCCCTTGATCCAAAAGATATGTGATATGGAACACGGTGTGTGTCTGGGGAGATTCCTACTCGCTGACAGCCAGCCCATTCTGCACATTAAAAAGGAAAGAAGTAAACTATGAAATGGTGAGAGGTATTTGCCTCTCAGAGAAAGCAGGAATGCCATTAGAATCCGAGCTCCTGCCTTTAAACAGTAACCGCAATCCCAGCAGCAGCATGATTTATCATTCACAGGGCACCCCATCCAACTATTTAAAAATCCTTCTCAAGGGGTCCTTCTTTGGGGGTCAAAGTTGTCACTGTGTTTTGAATGAGAGGTGTGTTTGCTTGCAGTAAGCATGTTCGCTGCACAAAACGCAGAGCTGCCCAGATTTAACTTAAGGTTCAAAATCTACCACGCTGAACAGAATAGAAGGTGCCTATAAAGACCTCATCATCTATTCCATGAATGGCAAGTATCCAATGGGAGGAAAAGGGAATATAGTTCTAAAACCCCATTTAACCACCTTCCTTTCACTTCCATTCCCACTTGTCCAGAAGTGTGGAGCCATTACCTGTGATGTCGTAAACCTTTCCGTCCATCATGGCAAAATAGGTGATCTTCAGCCCCAGCATACTGGATTCGGCCCAGAAGTCTCCCTCCTCGGCCGCATGAAGCTTGCTACATTCTGCACAGTAGCGAGCATTCAGTGGGTCACGATCCATCTCAAACCGCCTGCAGCAACAAAGAGTTTATCAGAGACCAGAGAGTATGGGTGGGTGGGTGCGCCTGATTTTCTAGAGTTTGGAACCTTTAAAACTCTCCTCCCCATCCAATGTTTCTTCATTTCAGAGGGGGCTGAGATTCTACATCCAAAAATTGTTAGAAGAATCAGTAGCCCTAAGAAGAGGGAATGGTAGCTAAGCCATGAATGAGAGCATCCCCTCTCCAAGAAACCTTCCCAGCTGTTTTTCTTATGCTTTAACTTCTCCAGCTACTGTCCACATTCCCAAGCTTTTCAATGGATGCTTAGAACCATTTTTCTTATCAAATAGAAACAGTATACAGTCCCTCTGCCACATGGCTTTGCTACAGCAATGCCCAGCAAGAATTGAGATACTGCACACTCTGGAAAGCAGACATGCTCTTGCTATTATTGCACCCGGCCTGAAATAATAGTGGGACCATTAAGGAGATAACGGCAGTGGCCACTTACCTGTGCTTCCCCTGACACTTGTTACACATCATTGTATTCATGGCTTCTTTTAGGTCATCCTGAAGCTTAGAAAGGAACTCATTCATGGATTTGGTCAGCTCTGTCTCTGCCATGCGCTTGCTTGAAAAGAGCAACAAGGGAAGTCAGAAGCCAATGGCGGTAGCATCAGTACAAGAAAGAAACCTGGACAATGGCAGACTAAGGCTGCGATACTAAGCACTTCAAGCAACAGAACTTTCTTCTAGGTGACAACAACTAGGACCAGGCAGTAAGAAATACAGTGGTACCTCGGGTGACATATGCTTCAAGTTACATACACTTCAGGTTACACACTCCGCTAACCCAGAAATAGTACCTCGGGTTAAGAACTTTGCTTCAGAATGAGAACAGAAATCGGGCTCCGGCGGCATGGCGGCAGCAGGAGGCCCCATTAGCTAAAGTGGCGCTTCAGGTTAAGAACAGTTTCAGGCTAAGAACAGACCTCCAAAACGAATTAAGTTCTTATCCCGAGGTACCACTGTATATTGAGAAGCAGAGTGGCTAATAAGCCTGGTCTTTATTCAAGGAACTGAGTACGGAAAGAGGACAAGAGAACGGGTTGCGGCTCATCTTTGCAACAGGGACTCCTTTGCCAAACGGCATTTAGGAATCTTCCGGTTATAGGTTTTTGCTTGGAAGGCTGTTATTACTCAGCGATATGGGAAAATGCACTCTGTACATGCTCCATGACTTGCCTGTCCCAATAATTTATTTCATTCCCCCCGCCACCCGGCCTGAGTTCCGGTACAGTGGTACCACTGTAAGTGCTATACGCTGAAGCAGCATATAGCTCTCCCAGCCACTTGTCTAACTTATATGCCACTCTGTCTCTGCATTTACACTGGTGACTTCAAAGCTAGGTACTCCTAAATATAACTGATGCAGATACATTCTGCTTCTCATATTGGGAAATCTTCCAGTGTTTTAAACAAGCAGGAACACTTTCATAACATGTCAAAGCATTGTGGGATATACAGGGAACTTGAAAGGAGTTCACTATAGTGTGCTCAGTAAACAAAATGTTCCCCGATGTATTCCCAGATACTCCCTGGCAGTGTAGCATGGGCTTCAGTTAGATCACACAGCAAACACATGGTTGTTATTTCAGCCTTGCATTTGACGCAACTCCGCCTAACTCCAAATATGTGTGTATCCTTCGCTGTATCCAGTTTCTCATGAGGTGACAGGAATGGCTAGGAGTTTTATTTAAATCATGCTGCTATTCCTGAGAGTGTGTCTGCATCCTCCAACAGAACATACTAGACTCTGGAGGACTCTGACCCAGACCAAGGTGCAAGGACAATTGCACAAGAATTGACAATAACGTAAGTCAGGCTTTCTCAACCTCGGCCCTCTGGATGTTTTTGGCCTACAACTCCCATGATCCCTAGCTAGTAAGACCAGTGGTCAGGAATGATGGGAATTGTAGTCTCAAAACATTTGGAGGGCCGAGGTTGAGGAAGCCTGATATAAATAGACCTGAGACTGTTCCTTGCTAGGTAGCAGGAACTTCAGATCTTAACAGTTAAAAAAAAACCTTACCCAATTAATCTACTCACAGTTGAATGATTAGCCTGCTAAACAATTGATTACATCTACATACAGGGAAAACAGTTGTAATAAAAGCACACTTTTTTTTTGTTTTGATGATGCACCTGTATATCACAGCATGCAACATTTTAGACGCAGAATCCCCTTTCTGCCTCATATAGTGCAGAGGTGGAAAATGCCTCTTCTAAGACAGTGCCCTCCATCCTCATTTTTTATGAAGCCTTATTGTTGCTGCTGTTGTTACTTTTAAAAGATCTATTGCCCAATTAACTGGAAGTACCGTATTTTTCGCACCATAGGACGCACCGGACAATAGGACGCACTTTGTTTTAGAGGGGGGAGAACAAGAAAAAAAAAATCTCCCCCTCTTTGCCCAGCGCCCCTTCAGCGAAGCGGCAGGAGGCGCTGCGCAGAGAGGGGGAGAACTTTCCCCCTCTTGTTTTCCCGCTCTGAAACAAGGTGCCGTTTAAGGTGCGTTCAGGCGGCTACCTTGGAAGCCTGGAGAGCGTGAGGGGTCGGTGTGCACTGACCCCTCTCGCGCTCCACGCTTCAGGTTCCGTTCAACCAGCTCGTTTGGGCTGGCGGGGAAGCCCACCACCAGCCCCAAAGAGCAGGTCAGGGAGCAGCGGAAAGGCGCAGCAGAGAGGCTCCTGCCATAGCCGCGCGTCACCTCTCCAGCCGGGAGAGGGTCGCGGAGTGCTTCTTTAGCCCCGCGAGTGCTCTCCCGGCTGGAGAGGTGATGCGCGGCTATAGAGGCTCCTGCCATAGCCGCACGTCACCTCTCCAGCCGGGAGAGGGTCGCGGGGCTATGGCATCTTCGCTCCATAGGACGCACACACATTTCCCCTTCATTTTTGAAGGGGAAAAAGTGTGTCCTATAGAGCGAAAAATACGGTAACTTTTTTTTTTTGCTGATTACACCTTCCATTTGGGTCAACTAAATGAAATCTAGACCTTCCACACCCTTCCCACTGGAGCTATGCTGCAAATCTAAATCTAAGCCTACTTACTCAGAAGCCAGTCTCACAAAACAGTGGCTCTTTCAAGCCAGCATGTTGAAGCCTGGTTTTTAGAGCACCAAACTTTTCTACAAGAGCTGGGAGTCAAAGCAGTGCAGCAGCTGCTTGGCCTCAGTAAGTACCTCAAACTCCTCTGGGTCTTCTCCTCAGAAGGCCTTTAGGCCAAGAGCACACTCTGTAAGCTTATCTCCAGCACTCCTATCTAGTTACAGATAATGCCCTTGCACAATTGCCAGGTGGAGAGGAGTTCAATTTCTTCTTTCTACTAATTTGGATACATTAATTTACTACAATTCACAGAGGATGGGGGGAGTCTAGTGATAATACACTTCTTTCAATTAGATATAGATATAGATATATAGATATAGATATAGGGACGCGGGTGGTGCTGTGGGTTAAACCACAGAGCCTAGGACTTGCCGATCAGAAGGTCGGCGGTTCGAATCCCTGAGAGGGGGTGAGCTCCCGTTGGTCAGTCCCTGCTCCTGCCAACCTAGCAGTTCGAAAGCAGGTCAAAGTGCAAGTAGATAAATAGGTACCGCTCCACCGGGAAGGTAAACGGCGTTTCCGTGCGCTGCTCTGGTTTGCCAGAAGCGGCTTAGTCATGGTGGCCACATGACCCGGAAGCTGTATGCCGGCTCCCTCGGCCAATAAAGCGAGATGAGCGCTGCAACCCCAAAGTCAGTCATGACTGTACCTAATGGTCAGGGGTCCCTTTATCTTCAATTAGATAAAGGATAAGGTGCCACCACAGTATTGGCCTTTACCTCTAAGGGAGAGCAGAAGCAGAGATCAACACAAGCAGCAGTTAGAGGTACAAGCTCATTTTCAAAACCATTTATCCTGAGCATCTGTATCCAGCTGTGAATACTTGTGCTCCTGTGCATATTAATAGTGTGTTAGAGATGCATTTCCTCCTAAACAACCCCATGATGGGCACTCAGGAGGGCCTGATTGGCTATTTGTAGGAGAGTTAATAATTTAAGAGAATCATACCCCACCTTTCCATTTTCCATTTCCAGGGCAGCATTTTGCATACATCTGGAACATTTAAATAACTCTTGGTCACAAGATGAGGCCAATGTTCAGGGCCTCATTTGCAATGGATCTTCCTGCCCATTAAATATGGCCTTACTTTGAAAGCAGCACCCTCCCAGTCCACAGGTAATGTGGACTCAGTTCCAAAACATTGTGGCCAAATGGATTTCAGTCCACTCACATTTCATATTCCTTCCTCCTCTCTGGATTGCTGACAATATCCCAGGCTGCCCGCAGTACCTTGAAGGCCTCTTCTGCTCGCGGATGCTTATTCTTGTCTGGGTGAACCTGTGCAACACCCCACCCCATCCCAAAAACAAACAGAAAGTCAGAAAATGCCTATATTGTGGCATCAATAGCATTTAGTTTTTTCAGCCCATGGGAAAAGCACATCATATACAAGAACGCAATAATCCTTTTTATTTATATATATATTTTTTTAATTTGTATTTTCCCAGAGTTCAGTACATACATGCATATCCTACATATTTTTATCCATCTATTCCCTTTAGACTTCCCACCCCACCGTGGCTTCCTGTTTTTCCTTTTTATGCTGCATATCCTTAGCCAGGAAATTACCACCCATAATCGTTCTGTTTGTTAACCTAGTTTGTAATTACTGCTCCATAATAATAAATAATAAATAATAATTTATTACTTATACCCCGCCCATTTGGCTGAGTTTCCCCAGGCACTCTGGGCGGCTTCCAAAAGGATATTAAGAACACAATAAAACATCAAACATTAAAAACTTCCCTAAACAGGACTGCCTTCAGATGTCTTCTGAAAGTCAGATAGTTGTTTATTTCCTTGACATCTGCTTATATGTCAATTCCTACATGCAGATTTATTTGGTTGCTGTACCTCTTTAGATAATCTATACATAATTCCCATTCCTCCCTCAGCTGTGTTTCTCCCTGACCTCTAATTTTTGTTGTCATGCTGGCCAATTCTATATACTCTGCCAATTTCTTTATTCATTAACTCAGTAATCCTAATAGGCACCTTGTAATGTAGACCGGCATTATCATCCACATATCCCATACAGATCGACAGAATAAGAGTGGCAGAAACTTGAACCAGGACTTCCGATTAATACAGGCATGTTTTCTTAATACTGGCATGTTTTCTGTTCAAAAGCTCAGACTGGAGAGACATGCTTCCTCCAATGTAGCCATACCCAATCATAACAAGGAATGAACGAGATACAACTGCTTTTGATTAAAATCAATCCTTGTCACAAATGAGGCCAGCCCCTGTGGTCAGTGAGACAGATTAGCAGTTCCCAGTGAAGACAGGGCCTGAAGTCTGAGTCCACTCCATGTCAGCCCATGGCCCCACATCAACATTGCACTACTGCAGTTCAGTTGCCCTTTTAACTCATTTTGGGATGGGCGAAAGGGAGCAGATTTGCATCCTTAAAGCTTCAGGCTGGTAATTTTCCAGCCCTAGGAACTAGGCGGAAAGTTTACCACCTGAAGGCATTAAGTCAAGACAGGTTTAACCTGGCTTCCCAGCATACTGCTGCTTGATACCTGAAGCAGAAAAACCAGCAGAGTGATTACTCATCACAATGGCCTGGACAAGGAAGCTGCTGACAGTGATCATGCCAGCCTGATAAAAGAAAGGATTAGCAAAACTTTGTCCCTCCAAGTAGCACAGTAATCTTGAAGGCCCTAGAGTGTGCAGCAGGGCATGGCAGATGAGGCAAGAGGAAGCAAAAGAACTGCTAAACCTACAAGCGAGAGACACTGTTGAACAAACTGGCTGGATAATATCATCTGAACCTCCCACTCCACACAAACCCACATTAAACTGCTAACTGGGCCAACCAGAAGCAGAGGGGGCCTCTGTCTGCACCGCTGCACCTTGAAGAAAACCAGCAGTAGCTTTGCAAATCCACGTAGTGAACACAGCGGTATTCGTGAATTGCAAGCACATGCCAACCCAAGGCAGCAGAGAAATATGATGGCACCTTTCTCAAGACACCCAATCGTCTTCCTCCAGCTCAAAAGGAATGTGCTCACCAGTACTGCCAAGTGCCGATAGGCTCTCTTCAGCTCAGCATCCGATGCAGTTGCCTCCAAGCGCAAGACCTGGAAAGGGTTAAGCTCTTCTTCGGGGGTATGTGCCATAGCCAGCAAGCGTGCCACCTCTTCCCCAGGCTGGTATGGCTCAGATCCTCCAGGAGACCCATTATAAGCAGTGTCCCCTGGCTGGCTGGTCCTTAATCCTTTGGGCATCCAAAGGAGGGTTTGCCACTTAAGCAGCAGGCCGGCTGCCCACTTGCAAGTCCTGCTTTCTTTAAAGAGGGCCCAAACTTGGGGCAGGTCAACGGCTGAGACAATCCAGGCTCCGTGACTGGTGTGGGCCAATCTACCCAAGACACTGAAGAGGGCTGATTTAGAGACCCGCCAGCAGAGTCTCAGGCTACCCAGGAGAAGCATGAGCACCAGAAAGAGTATAGCACATAGCATCTTAAGCAGGCGGTAAGCCACACTAAGCCACGAGCCCAGCCACCACGTCACTTTCCTGCAGCCCAGCCTTGCATGCTGGATCCAAGTCCGCATGCTGGTTCGGATGGTATCCAGATCATGAGCGCTTAAGGAGCAGCACGAGTACAGGAGCTTCCCACCAGCTTCCACACCCTCGCCACACCTGTGGGTGACCTGCACAATCAGGCTGATAAAGAGTTTGAAGCAGGAGACACAGAAGGAAGCTAACCCCTCCAGATGTTTGAGCAGCTGGACTTGGACGTCATGGTGCCGCCCACCGTCACTCCTCTTCCTGGCCTGCCTGTGCTTTCCCCCAGATAGTGCAAAACGCCCTTCGCCCTTGGCTGCAGAATGGTGCTTTTGCTGCCGGGCAAACTTCCTTCCACCAGGAGCCCGAGTACAGTCTGGGACCTCCTCCTTGGCCTTGGATGCCGCATCATCTTCAACGTCTTCCTCCTGACCTTGTGGTAACTTGGACGGGCCTTTCTCCTTGGAGGCCGAAAGCCAGTGCTGGCAAGTGAAACCACACAAGCCATTCCCCTTCTCTGAATAAGTTTCGGAGAGATCGGGGATATCTCCTTGACAATTACAAGAGCCAGCTTCACTGTCGCCAGCAAAGTGCAAGTTGCCGTTATCTTGATCGCTCCTTTTCTTCCAAGTGGTTTCGGTTCCTCTAGCACCCTCCTCCTCCTCGCCCCAAATTCCAGCTTCTCCAGCAGACTCTGGAGCTTCCAAAACCAGCCCCTCTTTGCCGGGGCAACCTTCGCAACTGCAGCCCTCTTGGGAGACCTGGCCGGCGGCTAGCAGGTCGCTTCCTGCATCAGCACCGCCTGAGACGGAGCTGCTCTCCTTCGCCATACAAGGGCTGCCAGTACCCGGAACAGTCCTGCCCAAATCAGGGCAAGCTGGCTTGCGTCCAGACAGATCTCCAGTCTCACACCCAGCGTCCTCCATGGCGTTGGGCTTCCGGGGTTGCTCTGGCCTCGACGAGCGGTTAAGTTACAGCCATCGTCGATCCCTCCGCCTGCAAAAATGAATAATAATAGTAACAGGAGAGAAAATCCAGGCGATACTTCTAAAAACCGCAGCACCAACCCGCCCCCCCCAACGCCCCCCACCCCAACCCCCAATAATGGTTAACAGGAAGCGAGATCCCTACCACCCACTTCTAGGACTAGGGTGGGGGCAGAGAAAAGTGGGGGCCGGTCCATGCTTGGGGGGCGGGAAAGGACTCAAAACGTGGCCCCCCAAATGAAGGGGGGAAGGAGACACGAGAGAAAGCGGGGAGGGCGGAATGGGGGGGGAAGCTTACCTGGTCCTGTTACCCTGGCAACGAGAGGGGGCGCTACTTCCCCCTCCTTCTGCCCCCTCACTCCCTCTCTCCGCGAGCCTCCACTTCCGCCCGCCTAGGTGTGACATCTCGTTCCCCGCCTTCTGCGTCCGGGTCAAGTGCGTGGGTGGGTGGGTAGGGGGGGCGGGGCGCGCGGTAGCGTCATCGCCCGTCCCGGCCGCCGCGTTCGTTTTCTTAAAGGGCCCGAGCGCAAAATTCCGCTCTTGCGGCAGCGCCTCCCTCCGACTCTTCCCTCCTGAGACCGGATCAGAGTGGGGCGAGTTCGCCTGGCGCGGTTGCCTCGGACCGATCACGGGGCGGGAGGTGCTTGGGCCGCCGGTCGGCTAGCTGGCTTCTCTAATGGCAAAGGTGATTCAGCCTTATCCAGGACGCGCAAACTTCGTGCTCGTCGGATCGGCTCTGTTTTATTTTCTAGGAGCCACCAGATCCCTGCCAGCCACGCCCAGATCCAGAAAAGATCCAGTTAAGAGTTAAAGAACAACTGTGCCTCTGAGCACATTATGAGTCTAGGAATTCGTTTCACGCGAAAAAGTCCACGCCTGGCTAGGTTTCTTCGCTCTACATGCCAAATTTAGGGGGGGGGGTGTATTCTTCTTGTTGCTGTTTAAGCAGCTGGGTGTCAGAAACCATTCCCAATCTTTTAACAAGTCACCCCAGGCATCAACAAGTCGATCTAGCTTCTGCCCACCCCTAATTATTTTTTTTGTCTTGTTGGCATCCGTCTGCCTCGAGAGACACGCCTAGGCAGTGTGTATGGAGGTTCTGAGCTAGCCAGACTTTTTAAATATTTATATTTTACTAAGGTGACTTAAGTTAAAAGAAATAAAGTGATACAGGGGGAAGAAAAGAAGGAAGTGACAGGGAGAAAAACAACAGCAGCAAAGATGCGTATAAAATTTATATGCCAAAAAAAGCAATATACAATATTCCTGTACATTCTTGTATAAATTGGTATAGTGTTCTTGTCCTAGTGCTTATGTAAATGTTAATAGCCTACTACATTTTGTATACTCATTCCAAGTGTTATCATATTTTTCCTTACAGAATCAGTGGCTGTAAGCAGTCCGTTCATAAATTGCCAGTGATGTTATATCATTAGTCCATTGACTGAAGGGTATCATATCTTTATTTTTCCAATTCCTCAATATCAATCTCTTGGCCACCATTAGAACAAGGAAAATCCATTTCCGTTGTCCCGTTGATAATTTCCATACTGCTGGTATATAGTTCAATAGAATATTCTCTGCTGAAATATTTAACTTTTTCTGCACAGTCAGCCCTTTCTCCCAAAACTTGTTAAGTAAAGAACACTGTACAAACATGTGTTTCAGAGAGGCATTGTTCTGGGCTACCCAGATGACAAGACCCCTCCCCCCTTCTCAGCCTTGCTGATGTGGTCTGAAGGAAAGCAGAACAATATATTTGGAACCACCTTGAATTTATCTGCCATCTCCAATACAGTACAGCAAGAAATCAATAGTGCTTGCTTCTGAATAAGCTACATACACTGGATCTAGCTGCAAGTTTTATTTCAGTCTGGTCAGTGCTGAATCAGTTAAAAGTAGAGGTGACCAAGACTCAGCTGTCAGAACCATGCAGTTAATCCTAGGAGGACAGTAGTGAGAGCCAAACACTGCAAAGAGTAGAGGCATTTTTTAGACAGAGAAACCTCCAGATAATACTAAAGCAGAATAGGTCACTGGGTCAGCATTTAAAGTACTGCTGAATGAGCTGACCTTGCTTGCCAAATACAGTGGTTCCATGACAAATGGATCGATGTGGAAAGAGTTCCCTGAGGGTAGAAGTTTGAATGCCACTGTGATCAATCAAAGCAAAGCATTTTTAAAATTAAGACCTGAAAAGCCTGAGGTATTGGATCAAAACCTGAGTTACTAAATCAATGTTCCCTGCAAGACATAGCTCCATTGTTAGCAAGATAATTTCATTTTGTGGATTGAAACAAGTGGGCTTCAGTCTGCAAAAGCTTGTGCTGCAATAAATCTGTTTGTCTTTAGGGTGCCGCAAGACTCCTTTTCGATTTCATGATAAGAAAGGCATTCACTGATAGTGATCAGAAGTTTAAAATGGAGCAGACAAAGTCCCTGAAGCAAAGCAATAGGAAGCATTGCAATGTTTTTTGCTTTTTTAGCACACCATTTGAAATATGATTTGAGTGGCGCTGTGGTCTAAACCACTGAGCCTAGTGAGCTCCTGTTGCTCGGTCCCAGCTCCTGCCAACCTAGCAGTTCGAAAGCACATCAAAGTGCAAGTAGATAAATAGATACCACTGTGGCGGGAAGTTCAACGGCGTTTCCGTGCACTACTCTGGTTTCGCCAGAAGCGGCTTAGTCATGCTGGCCATATGACCCGGAAAGCTATCTGCGGACAAACGCCGGCTCCCTCGGCCAGTAAAGCGAGATGAGCGCCGCAACCCCAGAGTCGTTCGCGACTGGACTTAACTGTCAGGGGTCCTTTACCTTTACCTTTATACATCTATAGCTACCCCCGTTTTCATGATTTGGACTTTACAATGGATGAAGAAATGGAGACTCCCAAGATTAAAATAAAGAACTAGGCAGGGCAATTCTATAGCCTCAATACTAGAGTGGTACCTTTGCTAACTGAAGATCAGCACAACTTACAGTACAGCACAATCCTAACCATGTCTATTCAAGAAGTTCTCTTGAATTTAATAGGGCCAACTCTTAGGTAAATGGAGTTAGGATTGCAATATGCTGTACTTGCCCAGCAGAAAAGTTGAGAAGGAAAACACTACAAAAAGCAGAGAATGGGAACATGCTTCCGCAGGCTTCCAAAACTCATGCAAAGGCCTGGGCTGCAAGAGTTCTCTCCTGACTATATATTGAGGTCATCTAACAAAGCCATGCAAAGATTGGTTATGGAACTCCCTTCCCCTGGATATGTGCCCAGAACCTGAATATCAACTGGAAGCACTTGAGAATATTTTCATTTGGGCTGGCTTTTACCCAAGCCTGAGTCCTAAAAGACCATGCAGTCTTCCGAGGGAAATTGGTGCTTCAGGAAAAACATTATCTCATTCAAAGCTGCAAATGCTAATAATGTAATGTAAAGGGTTTTCAAATCAAGTTCCAGTTTTCACCAGCAGAGGACAATTCATCCCCTTTCAACTCCCCTCTCTCACAAGAGGCAACAGCTTGTAGATATGCATTGTTGCAAAGGAAATTGGCGTGGGCATGTCCTGGCTGGCATCGTGGCATCTGGGGAATGAGTTGGACCTTCGAAGCCAGGGGTATATCCTGTAACTTGAGGAAGCACAAACTCACTGAGAATGCAGATCCAGTGATTTGGGAGTCTGTGGGAGCAGCTTGGAAATTTGGCTGCCTTTGCAGAGCAAGGAACAATATTTTCCGCTCTTTTGGACACAAAATCTTCCCTACTACATTTCTGCTTGGGATTTCATTAGATTCAGCCAGGTGTGTTTCCTCAATCCCCCAGACAACCCACTTCCTTCCACGTGTTGGAGTTTCACAGCAGAATCTAGGACATAGCTGGACTGGAATAAGCTGTAGAATTGGGCCCTTACTGCAACTAAAATATCTAAGGATTCTTGGACATAGCAGGTGGGTAGCATAAGACTACACTTCCCAAGAAGAAGGTACTGTACATGCAAAGTGTTTAACAGTATGCTCAGTACAGTAAAAAAGGTAAAAGTAAAGGACCCCTGGACAGTTAAGTCCAGTCAAAAGCGACTATCGGGCTGTAGCGCTCATCTTGCTTTCTGGCCAAGGAAGCCGGTGTTTGTCCGCAGACAGCTTTGGGCAGCATGACTAAACCACTTCTAGTGCAACGGAACACTGATAGAAAGCAGAGCACACGGAAACACCGATTACCTTCCCCCCACAATGGTACCTATTTATCTACTTGCATTGGCATGCTTTCAGACTGCTAGGTTGGCAGAAGCTGGGACAGAGCAATGGGAGCTCATCCCGTCGCAGGCATTTGAACCACCTTCTGATTGGCAAGCCCAAGAGTCTCAGTGGTTTAGACCACAGTGCCACCCACATCCCTTAGTCAGCATAGTAAACACATGCAGTATAGTCATACACATGTCTATTCAGAAGCCCTATTCAGTTCAATTGGACTTCTAGTTAAGAGGGCGTAAGATTGAAGCCTAAAACATTGCTAATCTTATGATTTAACAGAGTAACCCTAGCTATGTCTACTCAGAAGTAAATCTGATTGAATTTAATGAGGCCTTCTCTCAGGTAAGTGGGATTAGGTTTGCAGCCTTAGCCTGAAATCAGAATGGCAGAAACAGGGCTGGTTGGAAAATTATTTTGGAGGAAGCGGACTTGCTTATGAAAACATAAGATGGATGAATTTCTGGCCAGTTACTGATTTGGGAATGGCAGTGAAATGTACCAAGAACTTGGGTTGCAGAAGGACATCTCAGGTTCTTAACTATAAATGTGTACTTTCCACATTTTGGAAGAGGAACACACCACAAGTCCAGATTCTGAAGTAATGGTAAACCAGTCTTACTGTGCCTATGTGTATTTCTGCAAGGTGGCTGGAAAATCGGGAGGAATGAAGAGGCAGTGAGTTTTGCTCTTAATACCTGCTTGCTCATTCACGCTAAACTATGGTTTGGCTTAGCACTACATGGGAACTGGGCCATTGAGAAACTAAGCCTTTGGGAGGAAACTAGAGGATGGCAAATCATGATCAGATCTCTCTTTACATTTTTTGTAAAAAGATGCCACAATTTGGTCTGTTGACAGCAGTGCTGGGGCTGGGGAGATTGAAGCTCGCAGCCTATATTTCTGATGAAAAATGAACACACACAAACCAGATTTAGGGAATACTTCTACGTCCCATAAATTTAGTCAGGTGTGGTGTGCTGGGTCACACACACAGCCACCGAGAAACAACTTGATCATCATCCAAGCCTGGCTCCCTTGTTTAATATGTCGTGGCGGTCCATTTCCCCTTTGCAGATTTTGGATGGTGTGCAGAACCCCTTTTACATATGGTTCAGAAGCTGAGCTACAGTTATGAAGACTTGTAAGAACCTAGAAGTAAGGAAGTTTCTACCAAAAAATATAATGATGATGGCTTTCTAACCAAGTGAAATGCTCAAGGCTATACATGAAGTTAGCAGCCAAGTCCCACCAAATGCCAGCCTTTGCCCAGATCCAACAGCCGTAGAATCCACATGCCTTTATTCAGGTTTCGGACTTCTGATTATAGACAGGGGGGAAAAGACAGCCCACGGTGATTGCTTCTAAACCCACTCCTCTGCCCTGACCCACTAAACCCCATTCTCTCCGATCTGCGGATTAAAAAGAAAAGAAAAAAGGTTATCCTGCTCCCATTCTCCCTTCTTTGTGATGACTCAATAGACTCCTCTTTCTTCTCCCCCAGAGAGCTGGCAAGAACTCAAAGCCCTCTGGCTCCCAGCCTGCTCTCCATTCTAACCCACCAGTCGCAAACAGAACAGTAGCAGGGAGCTGGTCATGGGTGACCCAGCCACTGTGGGACAACCCCTCCTCCTCCCAGGATCATGCGCCTAGTATTACGAGTACCGGGCCCTATGGGCCTTGGGTGCTGAGAGTTGCCTCCGACACAAAGCCCCCTCTGTTTGCTCCAGCCAGGGCCTGAGAGAATCCAGTGTGCCTCTGAGGAAGGCGGGGGCAGAGGGCACATTGTTTGGAGACTTGCAGGAGATCGCAACATTTGGACATTATTACCCATCTCCCAAGGTGGGGGGGTGGGGGAGCAATGCCCTGCAAGTGAAAAATCAGCACCGAGGAGGGCCCGATTCTGTCTGCAGTGGAGGAAAAAGCAGAGAAACTTGGGGCACCTTAAAGATCAACACATTTATTACGTGCTCGAATCCGCAAGAAGCTCATGCCCTATGTTAATCTTTCAGATGCCGATCAGAAGATTCTTTGTCGGTTTTGCTGCAAAAGATTAATATGGCTGCTGTCCCCTGTGGAAATTAAAGGAATGAGACCGCGGTGGTCTAGGGGAGACTCTGTAAGAGTCTGGAGCGTCTAAAGGGAATGAGGGACTAGTGGATCAGCGTGACTGGAAGCTAATAAGGAAAGCAGCAGAGATTAGTGATTGGAGGTGGTGTCGTGGTACACAAAGTGGTTCAGATTCTACCTTTTATTGGGAGAAAGCTGTGCAACTCAGAAGCATCCTACTCTCACCAGAGCAATTCCATACTGAAAGGCATCCTTTACTTTTTTGGGTTCTTTGCTCTAAGGCTTCCTTTTTTGTCCAGTCAGATTCCCTTTGCCTTCACCATGAGACCAACTTGGGAGCCACTCTTGAAAAGTTTCCTGGGCATGGCTTTGAAAGGAGAACAGAGAAAACAGGAGACTGGTACAGGGGTGAATCAAATTTATATACTATGGGAGCTCTGGCCTGGAAGAAATGAACTTTCCAAAGACCTGAATATATATTTTTTTTACTCATTTATTTATTGCTTTGATGTTGGGATACTTCAAAGGCAACTCTCCAACCCAAGCTTCTGTTGGCTTCTGCCTATATTCTGTACAATACCAAGAATTGGACTGGATCCTAATGCTCTGCTCCACGAATTTCCCCAAAGAGCAAAAAGTCCCATGGACAGTTTGACTGGCTTAGTTTCCTTGGATATGAGCACTTTGGCGACTTCTGATGTCTTTGTATTCTTTGCTTTATTCACAAATATACAAGCATAGCCTGCTGGAAGCAAGACTCTTCAGAGGGTAACCATGTTAGTCTGTTGCAGCAAAAACAACCAAGAGTAGATTATTTGTTGTTTCTGGATGCAAACAGACTCCTACCGGCAGCAACCAAAATGCAGATAAGAGTCTCAGGTTCCCAGAGAGTTTGTTTTAGCTCCCCAAGGTGGCAACAGCTTAAACTCTTTCCTCTCAGACAGAGTCAAAGGATGACACTGTCTCTAAACCAGTGTCCTTGAACCGTAGGCTGTTGGACTACATCTCCCATCTCCCTTGACTGTTGGCTAAACTGGCTCTGGATGATGGGGGCTGTAATCTAACAACATCGGGCAGCCTAAGGTTGAAGAACACTGGTCTAAGCTTTCCCCTTCTACTTGGTGCATAGTATCACATTTCCAAAACATCTTGGGTATTGCATCCCAATGACTGGAGGGAGATTTCCAGCTATCAAGGAACATTACTGTTATTTTCCTAAAGCTTACGGCCACACACAGATTGCTTCAAAGCAGTCACCAAGACAGCCCCAACTCCTAACACCGGTTTGCAGTGCAAGGGGGTTCCTGCTTTGCCTTGGCAGGACTCAACTGCTGAGAAGTGGCATTGAGCCTGGCTCAACAAAGGATGAGAAAATCTTGCTGGCAGGTGACATGAGGCCACTGGCAGTATCTCAGAGGCTACAGCAATATTACCAGTCTCTCTCTCTCTCCTCCCTAGTCTTGGAAGGAATCAGAGAGGAGAGAACCAACCTCCCAAAAAGACATATGGACCAACCGTTGAGCATTCTTTCCTGGCCGGGTGGGTGAGCTTCTGATCACTGATGGTCAGGGCAGGAAGAAGCCAAGCCTCCACTGCTCGTTACGTTCCTCCTGCAGTGACAAAGGGGCTGATGCTAATTCAAAATGTTCTGTTATTGGGACCATCTGCTCTTGTCCTCCCTAGTTGTCAATGTAGGAAAGGGCAATGCTGTACTGATAGCAGGATCTGGGGCATGGAAAAGGAGGTGGGGCTTACTTGAATTCAAATAGCAGAGCCAGCAAATAGGACCCTAGAATCAGCCCTCCCCCCGCCCCCTGCCCCAAATTCCCACCTAGTTTCTGGCTAGCAGTGGCATCCAGCAGGTTAGACTAAGTAGAGTTTTTCCCCCATGCATTCTATGAAAAGTACTTTTTATTTTTCTTTGTGTTATGTGCTGCGCATCTGAAAACATTTGTGCAGGAGAAGAGGAGGAGGGGGGGGGTCGTTTTCAAATCAAATGTTAACTTTGGCCCATGCTTTTTTTAAAAAAAACACACACACAACATCTGTATGAGACCAGATGTGGAAAAACCAACGTTGCAGCTTTGGCATCGCAGGAGAAAAGGCCTCGGGACTCGATATGTTTGGGGGTTCGTGAGCTAGCGCAGCCACATAGCTGGCCCATCTCCCAGCCAGGAAGCAGGCTGATTCTCTGCTGGGGGCTCCAGTCCTCTTGAGGAACAGCCCCCCCCCCCGGCTGTCCACTCCACACCCCAGCTCATCCTGCTCCAGTTGCTGGCTGGGCTTCAGACACCTGCTTGGCCAGCTGGCCGGCTAATAAGCCTGCAAGGAAAGTCTTCTGCTGCTTGACATGCCCACTGCCAGCATTCCTGGAGGAGCTAAGGCTAGCAAGCCTAGGACCCAGCAGCGGCAAAGCCTAGGCCTTGGGGCTGGAACACAGCAGCCGGCAGGTCTTCTGTGTCCTGGCTCAGTTGGTTAGAGCATGGTGCCCATCACGCCAAGGTTGCAGGTTCGATCCCCTGCATATTCCTGCATTGCAGGGGTTTGGATGAGATTGGTCCTCAGGGTCTCTTCCAACTCTGCAATTTCCCCACCTTTCGAAAGGGCCCAGTGGCGGGAAGGAGAGATTGCAAAACTCCCAACGTCCCCAAAAAGCCCAGCTTGGGGAGTGGGCGGGATGCAAAGAGAGAGGCTGCTGGAGGCCCCCAGGATTCCTCCCCCTCCCTGCCCTGCAACAGTTGGCCCTATAGAAGCCCCCACAAGGCCGCTCTCCCCGCGCACAGATAAGTCTAAATTGCTCCTTTCTCTGCAGGACAATCAAACCATTCTCTGCAACTGGAAGGAACCAACCCTCTCGCCCCCAAAAAGAGAGGGGGTGGGGGGAATAGACCATTCTTTTCCAGCCGCGGCTTTCCGCGGATTCAAGAGCCCCGTTTCCCTTTTCTTGCTCTTCCCGCTACCCCTCTTTTTTTTTGGCTAGAAACATGGAGAAGGAGGCGGCGGTTAGTTTCTCCTTTCTTTCTGGAGACCCCATTCTGTTCTCCCTCGGGTCGCCCAGCTTCTCCGCTGGCCCCGCCCAGCGCTTGATGAGGTCACTCTTCAGCTGTCGTGGGGGGGGGGGGAGGAGATTATTTTGCCCCGAGTTTTTTGAACTGGAGGAAAGGGGGGCTAAATCGGGGGTGGGGTCTGTGCGGGGGAGAGAGAAGAGGAGGAGGAGGAGATTTGATCTTTTATTTAGGCACCTCTTTTGCATGCTCTTTCAGTTCCCAACAGTTACTCTCCGGAGTGGGTGGAGCTGGTGGATGGGATGGTTCTTTTGCAAACCAGTCCCGTCTATATGCGGTGGTGGGAACCCTGCTCTGGACTGGTAAGTTATATCGACCAAGCGGCTTATGTACTTTTCTTTTCCGGTGATGTGGAATGGAAATCCGGACTCCCTTAATGCTCCGCGTTAAAGCTCCAAGGGTGGTTGTCTCGCGCGTCCGCCCAGCCCCTCCAAAGTCAATATAGTTTTTTGTTTGTGTCTGTGCGTGCGCGCTTCAAAAATAATGTTTTTGGCGGAATGTTCTGCATCGTTTCAGAAGGTCTTTGCCAACTTGGAAAGTTGGCTGGAATTCAGATCAGGGTGACTGGAGGGAGGTGACTGATCTCTGAACGAGATTTAAGATGGGTAAAGGGGGGGAGGCAGACCAGCAACAGTTCTCTCCTCCCAGTGTCCGGATTATTCTGTGAGTCCTTCTGAGCTTCCGTAGAATGCATTCCTCAATTTAATATTTGGGAAGCTTTTACCACCGAGTTCAGAAAAGAAAAGAACGAGGGCCAAGCAGTGTGAGCCTCCTCCTACCACTGTCCGTAATTTGATTGCTTTATTTTTTATTTTTATGGCTCTCTAGTCTACCACTTCTTCAGCAATCCTCAGAACTTTGTTGCGAGCCCTAAATTTTAGGGATTGCTTGCTAAGCCTTCCACCCACCTCCCAGATTCCCAGCTGTGTCCTTTCTTCCCTCCCTCTGAGCTCAAGCAAGCTAATGGTATTCTAAACTGATTCTTGTTCTCTGATCCCAAAGGGAATATTTCCGTTAAACTCAGCACCGTTTTCCTGTCTGGGAGTCAAGCCATGGCTGGGGCGGTTTGGGGGGGGGGAGACATATGGGGAGGAGACAGCAGCACCTCTGTAGCCAATATTGTATATACACATACAAATAGCCAGGATTTCGGGACCCACTGGTTCAGCTGCCGTCCTCAACGTGGCACACGTGCGTGAGTGGAATATTGCGTGTGAAAATGCTGTGTGTGTGTGTGTGTGTGTGTGTGTGTGATGGGAGCAAATATATTCAGGGAGTTTGACTAAGTTTTGATCCGAACCAGGGCTCAGCCCTGAAACTGGGGCAAGGTCATCATACTATACATACAGATGATAGTAAAGAAAAAATGCTTCTGCATATTTGCAGAGTGTTTTCCCCTTTAACTACCCTCCGCTCACCCAAATTAATGCCGCCTTCCCTCGCGTCCCCTTAAAGGAGAGATGGGCTATAGCTTTCAGCAGATGAGCTCTGACACACGTCCTGAAAGTTCAAAAACAAGGCTGCAGCCCTATATGTACTTTCCTGGAAATAACTCTTCTCTATAGATATCTCTAGCATTGTGCTGCTTCATGCCATTTTTTTTGCAGGGGAATTCTCACTTAATAACTGGCACAAGAGTTTCATGCAATTTCCTATGTGAAGTTACTGTGTACCATGTATAACCAAACACCGTGCGTACCACCCCTCTGTCAATCGTCGTTTGCCGATCCGCACAATTTGATAGGCGTCTGTTTATGATAACCACACCTGGCTCTCCCCATCTGGGTTTGGTGTTGTTTTTCTGCAACGAAATGCATATGACTCAAAGGTACTGTCCTTTGAATTGCATTAAGTTCTCTGCTTTAGCCATCCTGTCACATTTAGGATGATTTTTAAAAAGTGGAATTTTAAAATCACTTCAATGCACATTAGTGACTGAGAATACTGAAAGGAGTGGCGAGAATGATAGAATAATGGAATCAAGTGTAATCTTTGGTTGATGGTATAACAGAATCGCAACCTACAATTAATTACTCATGGCTAGCTGAGTCTGCTTCATCACCTTGCGCAGGTGAGAGGCATTCTTTGTGAATACGTCTCCTGCTTCTTATGTAGCTGTGATCCCTTCCTCTCACGACTACCTTGTAATATTTCATTGCCCTGTTGTAAAAACTGGACTAGACTAAAGGCCCTTTGAGTGGAGTCTTACGTTCTTACAGGTTTTAGGTTTGTTGAATTTGTGTACAGTGGTACCTCGGGTTACAGACGCTTCAGGTTACAGACTCCGCTAACCCAGAAATAGTACCTCAGGTTAAGAACTTTGCTTCAGGATAAGAACAGAAATCACGCAGCAGCGGCGCAGCGGCAGCAGGAGGCCCCATTAGCTAAAGTGGTGCTTCAGGTTAAGAACAGCTTCAGGTTAAGAACAGACCTCTGGAACGAATTAAGTGCTTAACCTGAGGTACCACTGTATTGCTTTCCACAAAGTCCCCAAGTGATTTATGATAATAAAATGCACTAATAAAAACAGGTAAACGTATTGAAACATAACATGAAAACATCCAATCATTAGTGCTGCTGAGAAAACAACAATGTATTTGCTTGGAGCTAAAACAAAGAGAAGGTTGGTGCGCGGTGGACCTCTTTGGAGAGAGCATTCTATAGATGGGGAGGCTACTTCAGAAAGACCACTCTCTCGTTCCCATCATCTGGACCTTCCTTGGAGGTGGCATACAGAGAAGGGCCTCAGATGACTGTTCTGGGATCTGGGCAGGTTCTTATGAGGAAAGCTGAACCTTTCTGTACAGCAGTCCTGAACCATATAAAGAAGTGGTCAACCAAATGCCTATTTGAAGCCCACAATCAGGGCAACAGCAATCTTCCCATTTGTGATTTTCAGCAACAAGCAAAGAGAATGAAAGTCCCTCCGGGTTGCTCAACCAGATGCCTATAGGAAGCCCAGCGGGCAACAGCACCTTCTGGTTGCTATTCTCCTGGTACTCGGAAGCACCCTGCAGATGTTGCAGAGAGCCATTATGAGCAGTATCCACTTACCCTCCATGAATTTGTCTAATTCTCATTTAGAGCTGCTCAAGCATCTTTCTTCAAGGTCCTGGGTACATATGACAGAATTAGGGACAACATTTGAGGAGCATCACTGTGCAACTCAGTGGTCTGGCTGTCCTGTGCCCTCCACCCAAAGGTCTGCACCCAGGATAAATGTTCCACTTGTCTTCTGCATTGACTTTGGGTGAAAGTGTCCCCCCTCCACACCCCCAGCATTCCTGCTGGCCATCAGTCTCCTTGCCAGCTTTACTGGTTATTTTAGAGGCCACTCCATCAAAGTATTACACAAAGGGAACAGTGGCTGGGTGTAGGCAAAGTCGCCAACTTTTAACTGTAGAACACAACACTCCACAGAAATCAGGAAATTTGTTGTCATGTTCTCAGGGAGACTGGGATGCTCTGAATGATGGGGCATTTCTTGAAGAAAGGGGGCACTTGGCAACCCTACTGACAGGGAAGTCTTGGGGCCTGTCTAGATTTCCTTGCCTTTCACCCAGGGCCTGTACGAAAAATGATGGATACCTTCTCCATTGAAGCTGGGAAAAGAGCCCAGAAGTTCTGGCACCTAGTTCTGTCTCTTGCTCCAATTCACTAGGCTTCCCCTTCCCCTTCAGAGCTGGGAATAGGACCTAGAAGCCATGGCTGGTGACCAAGTTTAATAGTTGTTGAATTTAGATGTAATTGTTGACTTCCACCTCTTTGTGTCTCTTGACAGCCCCCAAACTATCCCCTTTCATCTCTCCCTGGTGCAAGGGGAGGGGGTTAAAGGTTGTATGTGCAAGCTTTGGCTTGGATTGTATGTGACGGATGCCAGATTGGGGAAGAGAGGGGAGGAATAATCCGTTGCCAATTCCATCTGGGTGTTTTGGGGGGTGGGAATGGAGATTAGTTATGCTTTCCACCACTTGGGTCATGTGAACAGCTTAACCCTTGGGGAGCGGGAAAGGGGGATAGGAAATGAGGTGGGCAGGGCCTAGAGGACATAATAAGAAGAGCCTACTGGATCAGGCCAATGGCCTATCTAGTCCAGCATCTGGTTCTCACCGTGGCCAGCCAGATACCTGTGGGAAACTCACAAGCAGGATTTGAGCACAGGAGCCCTCAGCCCACGTGTGATTTCCATCAACTGGTATTCAGAGACATACAGTGGTACCTTGGGTTAAGTACTTAATTCGTTCTGGAGGTCCGTACTTAACCTGAAACTGTTCTTAACCTGAAGCACCACTTTAGCTAATGGGGCCTCCTGCTGCTGCCGCACCACCGGAGCACGATTTCTGTTCTCATCCTGAAGCAAAGTTCTTAACCCGAGGTACTATTTCTGGGTTAGCGGAGTCTGTAACCTGAAGCGTATTTAACCCGAGGTACCACTGTATTGCCTTTGACAGTGTAGGGAAACCCTCCTCAGAGCCAGCGTGGTGTAGTGGTTAAGAGCGGTAGTCTTGTAATCTGGGGAACCGGGTTCGATTCCCTGCTCCTCCACATGCATCTGCTGGGTGACCTTGGGCCAGTCACACTTCTCTGAAGTCTCTCAGCCCCACTCACCTCACAGAGTGTTTGTTGTGGGGGAGGAAGGGAAAGGAGAATGTTAGCCGCTTTGAGACTCCTTTGGGTAGTGATAAAGCGGGATATCAAATCCAAACTCTTCTTCTTCTTCTTCAGCTTTTGCCAACTTTTCATTCTTAATCACTTTAAAGGCTGCTCTGCCATCTTGTTTATTTCAAGCACCAACAGAACAAGAGTTTGGACTTGATATCCTGCCTTTCACTCCCCTTAAGGAGTCTCAAAGCGGCTAACAATCAGCCTGGTTCCATCCCAGTACAAGTAGAGCCCATTCCTTTTGGCTTCCAGGACCTCACAACTACATTTCCCCGTGTCATTGGTGCCAGTTTGCCAAATGACCGTGGACTACCGCACTATGTAGGTGATGGGCAACATCCGCAACCTTCACATCAGGCAGTAGGGCTGGGCGATATAATAATAATTATAATTATAATAATTATAATAATTTTATTTATACCCCGCCCTCCCTGGCTCAGGGCGGCTAACACCAGTAAAATTACAGTAAAAACATAATAGGGGGGGAAAACCAATTTAAAATGCAGCCTCATTTTAAAAGTAGCCCTTAGATCAAAACCATAAGGGGAGGGAAACATAAGGGTCAGACTGAGTCCAAACCAAAGGCCAGGCGGAACAGCTCTGTCTTGCAGGCCATGCAGAAAGATGTCAAGTCCTGCAGGGCCCTAGTCTCTTGTGGCAGAGCGTTCCATCAAGTCGGGGCCAGTACTGAAAAGGCCCTGGCCCTAGTTGAGACCAATCTAACCACCTTGCGACTTGGGACCTCCAAAATGTTGTCATTTGTGGACCTTAAGGTCCTCTGTGAGGCATACCAGGAGAGGCAGTCCCGTAGGTACGTGGGTCCTATATCGTCCAGAACTGGTTTGATGTCCATATCACGATATCGGTTTCATAATTTTTGACCTGGTAATATATCATGAATCATGATGTGTGTGTGCGTGCTAAAATCACAGTGTGGGAAAACCATGAAGTCAGCCAATGCCTCTTCATAGCTTCATCCTTGTTTCATACATTGCGATTTATCAGTATATTGCAATGTTTAGCTGGTGATATATCACGAAGCTGAAAACCAGATATTGCCCAGCCCTACCAGGCAGGCAATTTACTCTGCAGTCTGTATGCCCATCACACACCTGTTTATGTTCTTAATGACCACCAGGATCCCTCCACCCACTAAAGAAGTATGCTCAACACAAAAAAGCTCCTCTTTCTCTCTCTTTACCATAAGTAATCATATACGCTTAAATTTATGTCTCTGTCCCTTTACCTGTCTTCCCCCTAAACTGAGAAGCTTAAGTGTTGCTTCCCCCCTTGATTGCTTTGATTTCCTTTTTCTGACCTTTTCTAGCTCTAGGGAGGAGACACTGGGGGACTATTGATCAGTTTCACTCCTGGTTCAGAGCCAGTAACTTAGATTTATTCAATAAGCAAATATGTGGTTATATCCTTATGTGTAGTGGAATTACCCTGTTCTTGAGGTCTGGGCTGAGGAGTGCTGGGAGGGACAACAGAAATCTCTCTTCCTCCGCCTCCCAAAATAAATTTCTTTAGTGAGATTGGCTCCATTATTATCAAATAATGGAGGCATATAACTTGGATAAAAAACTAGGCTTCCAGGTGGAAAAATCAAAGTTGGAAACAGAATTGTTAGACTCTAAAGTTAAGAATTTGTCAAGAATGTATAACTTGCTGTTGAAATGGAATACTCAAGATGAAATGGTGAAATCTGCTATGATTAAATGGGCACAAGATGTTGGACATAGTATTATGATGGCCGACTGGGAACAGTTATGGACCACTGGTAAGAAGTTTACCGCATGTAATGCCTTAAAAGAGAATTTAATGAAAATGATTTATAGATGGTACATAACACCAGTCAAGCTTGCAAAAATCTATCATTTGCCCGATAACAAATGTTGGAAATGTAATGAAACTGAAGGTACATTCTTTCACCTTTGGTGGACATGCCCAAAGATTAAGGCATTCTGGGAGATGATCTATAATGAAATGAAAAAGGTATTTAAATATACCTTCCTGAAGAAACCAGAGGCCTTTCTCCTGGGCATGGTCGGCCAACTGGTGCCAAAGAAGGATAGAACTTTCTTTATGTATGCTACAACAGCAGCAAGAATACTTATTGCAAAGTATTGGAAGACACAAGATCTACCCACCAGGGAAGAATGGCAGATGAAGCTGATGGACTACATGGAACTGGCAGAAATGACTGGCAGAATCCGAGACCAGGGAGAAGAGTCGGTGGAAGAAGATTGGAAAAAATTTAAAGTATACTTACAGAAACATTGTAAAATTAATGAGTGTTAGAAGGATGCTGGAATGAAGCTATATGGTTTTAGTAGAAATGCAACAAAGAATTAAGTAAAAGTTGATTGATATCGGGTTAAAATGAAAAAATTTAAGGTTAGACCGTTAAGATATATTATAGAAAAAAATTTGAGAAAGATGAGAAGAATTTGCTGAAATAGTGAATTGAACTAGAATACAAAAAAGGGGAGGTGTGAGGTTGATGAAACAAGTAAAGGAAAGGTAAAGATATGGAATATTGGATGTGTGTTTTAGTTTTTTCTTTGTTTCTTTTTGCTGTATTGTTGTATTGCTCTTCTATGTTTTTTTTTTCTTTTTTCTTTTTTATTGTTGTCTTTCTCTTTTTTTTTTTTGGTAATTTTTTAAACTTTTAATAAATATCATTTAAAAAATAAATAAATTTCTTTAGTGACAGAGGTGCAGTCACAAATGTAATATTATAATCCTAATTTGTATCTCTGAGGAATATTTCTACCTATACGTACTGGGCAGTTGGCATCTTTTTTATTATGTTTTCTCACACATTTTAGCATCATTTTGATGCCCTAATATGTGTTCCCTTGTTATGCTGTGCTCTTCTTTCTCTAATCGCATAACTGCCCCTAAACAAAAATACCTGGTGTGGTTTGTGGCTCCGTTTCAGCTGTGCCACCACAGCTCTTTCCCCCCACGCTCTCATCGGACATTCTTTGCACTGCTATCCTCCTCCAGCCCCATCTCTCAATCTTCCCCCAGGCTTCCTAAAGGATTTAGATCTCTGATGGCCCCTGCTGTGTTCCTGTAGGAAGAGGAGTTGGTTGGTTATGGGTTTTTCTAAAATGCTCAAGTCAGGGGCATTTGGTATTCTTCAAGCTGAAGGTAAACCTCTCTCCCTCTCTTGCAGGCTGTCCCTCCCGCTTGGATGGCTCTTCAAAGCTGAGCTGCATCCCAGCTGACCAGCATGGACCCAACTCCGTTGCTTCCAGTTACTCCTGACCCCCGGAGCTTTAATGAGGGGGCAACAGACCCCAGCGATCCTGCCTCCGATCCCTGCGCCCTCCTTTCCGAAAGGCACTATGAGGTGATTCCCTGTGTGATCTGTGGCCTCTGCTGCGTTTTTGGAGTTGTTTACTGCTGCTTTGGTGAGTAGAAAGAGGAAAGAGACAGTTCTGTCTCTGAGCCCATCTCAAACTTCACTTCTCTTTCCTTTTTCCTCTGTTCCCAGTGGGTTGTTTACATGCACCAGGGATAGTGGTTGGCACCAGGGCTGGATTTAGGTTTGATGAGGCCCTAAGCCCAGGGGTCAGCAACCTTTTTCAGCTGTGGTCAGGTCCACCGTCCCTCAGACCATGTGGTGAGCCAGACTATATTTTTTTGGGGGGGGGGGGAATGAATGAATTCCTTTGCCCACAAATAACCCAGAGATGCATTTTAAATAAAAGCACACATTCTACTCATGTAAAAACACCAGGCAGGCCCCACAAATAACCCAGAGATGCATTTTAAATAAAAGCACACATTCTACTCATGTAAAAACACCAGGCAGGCCCCACAAATAACCCAGAGATGCATTTTAAATAAAAGCACACATTCTACTCATGTAAAAACACCAGGCAGGCCCCACAAATAACCCAGAGATGCATTTTAAATAAAAGCACACATTCTACTTATGTAAAAACACACTGATTCCCAGACCGTCCGTGGGCCGGATTGAGAAGGCGATTGGGCTGCATCCAGCCCATGGGCCTTAGGTTGCCTACCCCTGCCCTAAGTTACTGAAGGTAATGGGGCCCTTTCTATGTCCAGCTATCCTTTGTCAACAAGAAATTGTCGCTGTTTTTTGTGTTGAATATATGCTATATATGCCCATTACTTAATCATAGGAGACTACACAACACAAAACACTGTTGCTGTATGTACCGTATGTTTTATTTTATTCTGCCAAGAGAGCGGGAGAACTCTAGGATGTTTCATTGAACGTAATCGTGGTTCTAGGAAATATACCTGAAACACTGAAAAATTGTCGCATTTTCCCATTAAGTGAACTGAGTAATTAAGAATATAAGTCACAACTGGAGACAAAATATTTGGGGTCTTCCGATCTGGGGTAGGTTAGGCAACCTGAACTTTGCAAGGGAGATAGAGAGCAGAGTCTGTTGTGGAAGGTTGGTGGCTTATAAGTGATGACTTATTTGGAACCTAACTCTGGAGGCTGAACAAAACCATGTATTAAGAGTTTTAAATGATCCTGTCACATGTACTGACTGATTTGGGCATTTTAGCCTTCAAAGAGTGAGGAACGACGGGGAGGGAGAGAAGAGGGTTATAATTTTTCATTGTCTTTTTCATTTTTTTAATGCTGGGGGAATCAGAGTTCTGTTTTCTTTAAAAAGTCAGAAATTCCACCTCTTCTTCCCTGCCACCCTGCAAAAATTCCAACAACCTCTCAGTCCATGTTTTGAATTACATGAAATAGCCAAGCTAATAAGAACTGTGTGTCCTCCATACTTGACCTATTTCAAAAAGCAACAAGTAACAAGTTGTCCTCCAGTAATTGTGATAACAGTGAGTCTGTGTCATAAAACTTTTATTTCTTGATGTTTACAGAAGGACTATTTCCCTACACCCCCCCAAAAAAAACAAGGTAGCTTTTCTTGCCATGTTTTCAGTCCTAAGAGATTCTAGCTTAACCATAATGAGAATTTAGATGCAACCTTTTTTCAGTAGCCCCTGTCTCGGAATATCCTATTGACGAAATATAGCCTCCCCCTTTTCAAAGATTTCCTCTGCTAAACCTGGTGTGTGCAGAAGCCCCCAGATTCCGACTAGGACATCTTCCTTAAAAAAAATATTTTAAAATTAATACTTTTCAGGTTTATACATTTCACTGATTTTACAATCATTTTGACATTTCAAAACTCGACTTCTTTCCTCCTCTTTCTGCGGTTCCTTAAATTTATTTTTAATATCTTCTGCATATCCAAATTAACTTAATTTGCTCACTTATTCATATTCTTTAAATATATACTCTTATGAAACTGCAGGTTATTACAATAATCCTGCCGATGCTTTTATCTGTTTACAGTTTATCTGTAAATATTCAACAAACCATTTCCATTCTTTTATAAAAAGTTTGTTATCTTGATTTCTTATTCTTCCGGTAAGTTTTGCCATTTCTGCATATTCCATAAGTTTTTGTATCCATTCTTCCTTTGCTGGGACTTCTGCTTCTTTCCATTTTGGGGCAAGTAACATTCTTGCTGGGATGCGGGTGGCGCTGTGGGTAAAACCTCAGTGCCTAGGACTTGCCGATCTTATGGTCGGCGGTTCGAATCCCCGTGGCGAGGTGAGTTCCCGTCGTTCAGTCCCAGCTCCTGCCCACCTAGCAGTTCGAAAGCACCCTTAAGTGCAAGTAGATAAATAGGTACTGCTTTATAGCGGGAAGGTAAACGGCGTTTCCGTGTGCTGCGCTGGTGCCGGCTCGCCAGAGCAGCTTGTCACGCTGGCCACGTGACCCGGAAGTGTCTCCGGACAGCGCTGGCCCCCGGCCTCTTAAGTGAGATGGGCGCACAACCCTAGAGTCGGACATGACTGGCCTGTACGGGCAGGGGTACCTTTACCTTTAACATTCTTACTGCTATAGTAGCATACATGAATAAGTTTCTATACAGTTTAGGTAGTTCTGTCCCTATTAATTCCCAAAAGAAAAGCTTCTGGGGTTTATTTTAAGCAAACATTATTTTAAACATCCTTTTCATTTCATTATATATCATTTCCTAGCAAGCCTTAACCCAGGCATGTCCAAAGTCCGTTTCGGGGCCTAATCCGGCCCTTGTGGCAGTATATATCCTAGGGTAAAATCCTTTTAAAAAGCACAACAACTTTGGGGTAAAATAACAGATGTTCACTTCATCAAATCTGGCCCTCTTTGAAAAAAATTTGGGCACCCTTGCCTTAACCTTACTACAGGACCAGCTAAAGACTTCTGTGACTTCAAAGAAGAATGGGAACCTTTTTCAGTCTATTTAAAAAGACAACAAAATGAACTGGACTGCTTGGCAGGTTTTGAATAAACATACACAAATTAATTGGGTTAATATGATGGATGAATAATATAAGGATGTATACAATTTTATAATATGCAGAAAAAAATAGGAGATGAGAAATCAGAGAGAGGAGTTGAGGGAAGTCCTGGGGGACAGGGAGGGAGGGTTTGTTGGGGAGGTGGGAGGGGGAAAAACAACGAAGATGATTTTTATTGTTGATTTGTTATGGCCTTGATCCAGTATACCTGAAGGAGCGTTTCCACCTCCATCGTTCTGCCCGGACACTGAGGTCCAGCGCCGAGGGACTTCTGGAGGTTCCCTTACTGAGAGAAGCCAGGTTACAGGGAACCAGGCAGAGGGCCTTCTCGGTAGTGGCACCCACCCTGTGGAACACCCTCCCACCAGATGTCAAAGAGAAAAATAACTACCAAACTTTTAGAAGACATCTAAAGGCAGCCCTGTTTAGGGAAGCTTTTAATGTTTAATAGGTTATTGTATTTTAGTGTTTTGTTGGAAGCCGCCCAGAGTGGCTGGGGGGACCCAGCCAGTTGGGCGGGGTATAAATAATAAATTATATTATTATTATTATTATTATTATTTTGAATTTGTTAATATTTTTCTTAAAAAAGACAACCTTACCACAGGACCACCACATATGAGAAAAAGAACCTTCTTTCTCCCCGCTGCTAAACTTGGCCCTCTTTCTGTTGCTAGGTTACCGCTGTTTCAAAGCCATCATGTTCCTCTCTGGCCTGCTCTTCGGCTCGGCCGTCATCTTCCTGCTTTGCTACAAAGAGCGCATCTTGGACACGCAGCTGAGCCTGGAAGTCAGCGCGGGGATTGCCCTGGGCATCGGCGTCCTCTGCGGCTTAGTCACGATGCTGGTGCACTCGGTTGGCTTGTTCCTGACAGGGCTCCTCCTCGGCTTGCTCCTGGCGACGGCTGGACTGGTGGCCACGGAGCCTCTGTGCCAGCTGCCTAGCGCCTGGGTCCCCGCCGGCTCGCTGCTGGGATCAGCCCTACTGGGTGCCGTCTTGGCCTTGCGCTGGCAGAAGGCCCTGACGGTGGTCTCCACGGCGATGTTTGGGGGCGCCGTGCTGACCCTCTGCTTGGACTACGCTGTGGAGAACTTGGCGCTGGGCTACCACGTGTACGACCGCCTCCGCCTGGCTCCCCCTTCCCCGCTGTGCTGGTGTGCCTGGGCCGTGCTGGCCACGTGGCCCGTCCTGGCCTTGATGGGAATGCTGCTGCAGTGGAGAGTGACCGCAGAGGGCTTCTCTCACACAGATGGTGAGTGGATGGCTTTAGGACCATGCCGAAGGAGGGGAGAAGGTCCAGTTGTAGTGGGCAGGGGGCATTCATGGCAACCTGCCTGGGACCCCCCCCAAATTATAGTGTACAGTAGTACCTCGGGTTACGTACGCTTCAGGTTACAGACTCCGCTAACCCAGAAATAGTACCTCGGCTTAAGAACTTTGCTTCAGGATGAGAACAGAAATCGTGCAGCGGTGGCAGCAGGAAGCCCCATTAGCTAAAGTGATGCTTCAGGTTAAGAACAGTTTCAGGTTAAGAACAAACCTCCGGAATGAATTAAGTTCTTAACCCGAGGTACCACTGTATTTACTTTTATTTTTAGGTTTTTAGGCTTGATGTTATGTTATTAATATAGGAAATAGCAAAGTGGGTGAAAAGAGAAACATACCAGAAGCGGAAGTTGGGGGAAGCCCTGGAGGGGAGGGAGGGAGGAATATATAATATATGTTAAGAAACTGAGATGTATGTAATGAATGAAAAAGAAAAATGAATAAAATAAAATAAAATCTGGAGGCGGGTCTGTACCTGCCTACCTCCTGCCCAACGAAATGTGGCCCATTTTTGTAAGAGACTTTAGTAGCAGACAGTGTGCGAGATTCGCCAGGCAGATTTTGCACCCGACCAAGTGAAGATGTTTGGCTGCCAATATGGTGCCTGACATCTCCACCTTCTGAGGATCATTGGCTCTGGACTAGTTTCACACACTTAACGCCCCATCCTGTGGAATTCTCTCAGTTATATTTTTATCTGCGCAATCAGAATAAATTTCTGGAACCAAAATGCTTTTTCTGTGCGGCCTCAGCAGGAGCAGTCGCGACAAAGGAAAAAGAGGTTGTATACATGTGGACTGCCCCTGGATCAAGTGACTTTTCTCCTTTAAGTTCTCAAAAGTTCTTAAGCTAGCTCAAGGTTGTCATCTGAACTAGCCAGATATTTAACTGAGAATCAATAATAATAATAAAAAAATTAATTTATACCCCGCCCTCCCCAGCCAAGACCGGGCTCAGGGCGGCTAACACCAAATATAAAACAATTGATTGAAATACAACTTAAAAACAAGATTAAAATACAACATTAAAATGCAGCCTCATTTCAGCAGAAACTCAAAAACTTTTTTGGGGAGGAAAACGTCAAGTCTTCACCAAGGCTAACTATCCAGACTGGTCCTACGTGGGGCAGAAAAAAGCCAGGGAAGTCCCCAAGTAGGAGTTCCGTCACAGAAGGAAAAAAGAAAGAGGGGGAAGGGATCAAGTTAATTCCAAGCCAAAGGCCACTCGGAACAACTCTGTCTTACAGGCCCTGCGGAAAGAAATCAGATCCTGCAGGGCCCTGGTCTCATGAGGCAGAGCGTTCCACCAGGCCGGAGCCAGTGTTGAAAAGGCCCTGGCTCTGGTTGAGGCTAATCTGACCTCACAGTCAGTCCATCATTTGAAAAGAAAAAAAGAATTTAGAGCCGTCTTGCCCCAAAATGGCAACTAGACAAAATGGCAACTGTTTTGGCGACTGTAACCTTGGTTTAAGGAGCTATTTGGCACCTAGAGTTTCTGACGCTGGTAGTGGAGGGAAAGTTGATGGGCAGCAGAGTGCCTACAGTCATAGAGAGACAGGGAGGTATGTTGCACAGTTAATCACTTTTTCTTCTGTCCTTCCTTGTCCCCAAAGGCCTCGTGCAAATCATTTCTCAGTCATATGACACGGAGTGTCGAGAGTGTCAAACAAGGACTAGGGAGACCCAGTTTAAATCCCCAATTGGCCCAGAAAGCTCACTGGGTGATCTTGGGCCAGTCACTTTCTCTTGGCCTGAGGACAGTAATTGTGGCAGTAAGATTGGGGTTGGGGAAGAGGATGAGAGCCAAGATCAGCCCTCTGAGCTACATGGATGAAGGGTCTGGTAAAAACGTAGTAAATTAATATTACTACTAAATAATAGCTAGATAGTGTTGGGGATGATTAGGAGACACTGTGTGAGTGCCTGGAGGCGGTTGGAGGATGGATGGTGGCTAATGGATTGAAGTTGAATCCTGACAGGACAGAAGTATTGTTTTTGGGGGACAGGGGGCAGGCTGGTGTGGAGGACTCCTTGGTCCTTAATGGGGTAACTCTGCCCCTGAAGGACCAGGTGCGCAGCCTCAGAGTCATTTTGGACTCACAGCTGTCCATGGAGGCACAGGTCAAATCTGTGTCCAGGGCAGCTGTTTACCAGCTCCATCTGGTACGCAGGCTGAGACTCTACCTGCCCACGGACTGTCTCGCCAGAGTGGTGCATGCTCTAGTTATCTCCCGCTTGGACTACTGCAATGCGCTCTACGTGGGGCTACCTTTGAAGGTGACTCGGAAACTGCAACTAATCCAGAATGCGGCAGCTAGACTGGTGACTGGGAGCAGCCACCGAGACCACATAACACCGGTCTTGAAAGACCTACATTGGCTCCCAGTACGTTTCCGAGCACAATTCAAAGTGCTGGTGTTGACCTTTAAAGCCCTAAACGGCCTCGGCCCAGTATACCTGAAGGAGCGTCTCCACCCCCATCGTTCTGCCCGGACGCTGAGGTCCAGCGCCGAGGGCCTTCTGGCGGTTCCCTCATTGCAAGAAGCAAAGCTACAGGGAACCAGGCAGAGGGCCTTCTTGGTAGTGGCGCCCGCCCTGTGGAACGCCCTCCCATCAGATGTCAAAGCGATAAATAACTACCTGACATTTAGAAGACATCTTAAGGCAGCCCTGTTCAGGGAAGTTTTTAATCTGTGATATTTTACTGTATTTTTGGTTTCTATGGAAGCCACCCAGAGTGGCTGGGGAAACCCAGCCAGATGGGCGGGGTACAAATAATAAATTATTATTATTATTATTATATCCATCATTACTTTGCTCAGACTAGAGGAATTTGACAGACTTGAAAAAAATTCAGAGTTCTCAAAATTCTGAAGAATGCAACATTATGTGGCATGATAACAACTGTGCAGAACTCTGTTCGCCTCCCAGCACGTAAAAGAGAGAGACTTGTTTGGGACAATTTTTTTCTCCTTCCTCCCCACCTCCACTTGACTACATTTGATTCTCTGGTCAGGAAAGGAATTCCCCCATAGCTGAGGAGTGAGAGCGTTCATTTTCTTTCTTAGCATTGTCTCTCCTTTTTTTAAAAAATTAAGATATATAGATATATACACACACATACACACAGTCATGGGAAAAAGAAAGTGCATCCCTCTTTGAATTCTGTGGTTTTACATATCAGGACATGGTGTAATATGTCATGTGTTGTTGTTCATCTGAGGTTGTATTTACCTAATTTTAAGACCTGCTAAGGAACAAATGATTGTCTTGATATGTAAAACCACAGAATTCAAAGAGGGTGTACAGTGGTACCTGGTGGAACGCTCTGTCTCATGAGACCAGGGCCCTGCAGGATCTGATTTCTTTCCGCAGGGCCTGTAAGACAGAGTTGTTCCTCCTGGCCTTTGTCTTGGAGCCAATTTGATTCCCTCCCCCTCTTTCTTTTTTCTTTTTCCTTTCTCCTCCTGTGATGAGGCTGCATTTTAATATTTTAATGTTTCAATATTTTAACGTTGTATTTAAATCTTGTTTTTAAGTTTTATTCATTCAACTTGTTTTTATTATTGCTTGTTAGCCGCCCTGAGCCCAGCCTTGGCTGGGGAGGGCGGGGTATAAATAAAAATTATTATTATTATTATTATTATTATTATTATTATTACCTCGGGTTAAGAACTTATTTCATTCTGGAAGTCTGTTCTTAACCTGAAACTGTTCTTAACCTGAAGCACCACTTTAGCTAATGGGGCCTCCCGCTGTCACTGCACCGCCGCTGCACGATTTCTGTTCTCATCCTGAAGCAAATTTCTTAACCCGAGGTAATATTTATGGGTTAGCGGAGTCTGTAACCTGAAGCGTATGTAGCCCGAGGTACCACTGTACTTTCTTTCCCCCATGACTGTATATATATATATAGAGAGAGAGAGAGAGAGAGAGAAATACACATATGTATAAATTTGTATTTATAAACTAGCCTTCTTAGGAGTAGTCTCCCTCTGCTTTCTCACACCTCTTCTCTTGCCCAGTGGTCCTGAATCGGCGCCAGAAGCAGCTGCAGCTCTTACGGATCCGGCAGCGCGAAGCCAAGAAGAGGCAGAGCCAGCTTCCTCAGGATGGTTCGTACCGGCATAAGCCCAGCGCTGTCAAGCGCTGTGCAGGCGATGTCCTTGCACCGGTGAGTGGCTGAAAGAGTTCCTGTCACAAATGTTCACAATCTTAACTCTTGACCCCCATTTGCAACACGCAGTGCCAAACTCACGATCCCAGCTGCGTCGTCGCCTTCAGAATGCCCCTTTGGCCTTTCCCTGGCATCTTCTCAATCCTCTGGAGCAGGTGTGGGGGAACTTTTTCGCCATCTAGCTGTTCCTCAATTCCCCAACAAGCATGGCTAATGGCCGCCAGGGATGATGAGAACTGAAAAGGTTCCCCATTATGGTGGTTCATAAAAAACTTTTTTAAAAAAATGCCTGCTCCAAAGGTCTTATCTCACTACACTAGGGATTATATAGCTATATCTGAAATATCATGCATATCAGTTAATATCTTGACCCTGCTCCACAAAAATAGCTGTTTACTTGGCCGTTTTCCTATGTCGTGAAGGCTGAAATTTCAATATTAACTGATATGCATGAAATTACAGATACAGCTACATAAGACCTTTGGAGCAGGCATTTTTTAAAAAAGGTTTTTTTATGAACCGCCCTATGCCCCATGCCTACTCTGCAGCCAGCCAATGGGAGTGTGGACCATCACTCCTTTGCACACATCTCCTCTGTCCCTTCCACCCTTTACATTTATAACCGGTGGCATAGCGTGGGTTGCCAGGGCCCGGGGCCGCACGAGATGGGAGAGAGGGAAACACATGAACGGTCAACTGCCTAACCGCGTCTGTATCACCCAGGAGATCATAGCCACAAAGAAAAGAGATGTTCTGTTGTCCGGAGAGGTTGGTTCCTGGTTCGCATGGAGAAGCTGGTTTCAGTGGAGCCCAGCAACAGAAGCTCGCAGCTGTACTGAGGCAGCACTTGGTGTCAAAAATTTTCGCCCCTAATAATTTTGCAACAGCCCCTGTGGCCCTGCCCCACGCTACGCCACTGTTTATAGCTGAGCATAAGGCAGGTTCTTTGTCAATGTGGATTGGCTCCTAATGGAGGTGTGTGGGGAGGGGTTAATATGTTGTTCCCCTTTCCCAGTTCACGCAGTGACATTCCATTCTTTTTCTCCACCCCAAAGAGTTATATTCAGAGCCTGCGTGACCGCCAGCAACTGGGAACTGGTACTTCGCTGAGCAACCTGAGTGCCAGTGCTCACACCGCTGTGGACCTGGATTACGACTCTGGCTCGACTGTTCCCCTCACCACGCCCCGTGGCTGCCTCTGAAGGGGATGGTTTCTACTTCCGCCTGTGCCTTAAGCAGGGACATAGCACAACTCTGCCCTCACTGGGGGGTCTGAATATTTTTGTCCCGTGCAGTCGCTTGACTGATATGCAAGCACCCTCGGCTAGCCTGCTATATATATATATTTTTAAAAATGTTCTAAAGCAGGCAGTTTCCTTTCCCTTGAGGGGAACTTGAGGCCAACAATGTGACTGAATCAAAGTAGCAGGAAAGAAGGGATGTTTTTAAATAGAAAAACAACAACCACAACAACACTATTAATTTATTCCCAATTAAGTCAAGTGAAAGAAGCAAGCCATCTTCCTCTGCAGGGTATCTACAGCCGCCTTGCAAGCTATGCTGCAATGAACTGGTTCCCTCTTAAGGTGGCTGTCCTTGACTTTGAAGCTAGTATAGTATCTGTCCTCTGCGGGCTCAGTTAAGCCATAGACATCCCCTCTTTTGGGGGATGAAGGGGTTTATTTGCCCTAGAGGTCTAGAACTAGCAACAGGGTACTTTGATTACCTTTTGGCTTAGATGAACAGCCCTATTTTACCTCGGGGATAAAATAGCTAGGGGGTAACTTGAAATCTTCGCACCACAGGTTGGTGAGGTAAATGGTTCTGATCTATGGTGCTTTTCACAACATTTTGCTTTTTTTTTGTATGTGGGTCAGATGGCAGAATCTTGTGAGTAGAGTCGCCATTGAATTATTCTTTCTCTAGGGCAGTTTGGCTTGCCGATACAACGTGCGTAGGGAACATTTGGACCATCCAAAGTTATTTGAACTACATCTCCCTTCATAGCAAACATGGTCAATGGCCTATCAAGGGATATGAGGAGTTGTAGTTCAGAAACACCTGAAGGCCCGGAAGTTTACCACACCAGGGTTATATAAGAAGGAAAAATTGTGCTTTTCTCTCCCCAACCCCCATCAAACTCAAAAGTTACCTTCCCAGATCCTGTTCAGTCATTCATAAACCCTTGATTATGTTATGAGGGGGATAGCAGAGTTTGCAAATAGGGCCCCACCTTCCCGCTCAAATGGCTATAAGTGTGTAAGGGAAGAATTCCCCCAAAGGGCTCTAAATATCATCCAAAGTGCCTTTTCTTGTCTATACAGAGCCTTACCTGCACTGAAGTGGCTTTCAGTTTAACCTGACTGTGGTGCTTTTTGAAAACACGTAGAGAAGGATTAAAAACCATTCTTTTTATAAAAAAAAAAGAGAAAGAGAGAGAAAGATTGAACTCTAAACTGTAGGCTAACCACCCAGGTTTCAATTCCTAAACAATTAATCTGAATTCAGTGAGTACACAGTGGGTTTGAATCCTGGTCAAGAGACCTGTTTTGTTATAGCAGATTGTTTCCTGTGGATATTTGTTGTTGTTACTGTTTTTATAACTTCTGCTTATAATACTTAACACTGATACATTTGTGCTATGCAGTCTGTCTCTATAATCACTTGGGTCACACTATAAAGAGGTTGGAGTTGGGTGAAATGCGGGGGGGAGAGAAAATGGGGTGCAGCAGGGGGTCAGAGCACAGGTGTGTACACACATCAGATCCAGCGGATTGGATCCTTTTGAAACTATAATTTTCCCATGGATTTCTAATCACATCTCTCTCTATCATTGACTGAACTGTAGAAATCACCCATTTTTACAGAGCAGCCTGTAAAACCATGGATCTGAGACATAAGGCCTTTTTTTTAAAGGGCTCTCCCTCAAAATTACAAAAATTATTGATTGCCCCCTGTATGCAAAAGAAAGTTGGGGGGCTGGTTCTTACTCCGTTGACATCCACAGTCACACACTGCATTATTTTGACTCTCTTTCTGCCCGGGTCCGAACACTGCTGCTGGGCAGCTGTGTGCATCTGCATGTAATATCATACAATCTGCCTAGCAGATATAAAAGGTTCTGGTGTCCTGATCACAAAAGTTAAAAAGCAGACAAGCCGTCACCAGCCTGAGACTTGGGCTGCATTAGAAATAATTTTGCTGTTGCCGAACTTTCTATTCTAATGCCCGATGATCTCATCGAAAGTTAGCTCTTTCCCCTTTCAGAAATGTTTGCCTCAGATGTATTAAACTTAGGTTTACTGCTTTGCTGTCACAATTTGAATACAGACTGGAACTATATATATATATATATATATATATATATATATATATATATATATATAAAATCTCATTTCATCTGAACTGCTGGGGGCATGGCACTAACCTTGGTGTTTCCTGAATTCCCAGTAATTAAAGTACACTTTCACAGTGTGATAGCAAAGGGTGCCACCCCTTTTAATTACTTTGTTGTTCCGAGCGCATCTCTTGACCAGGCGGACCTGTAACCTTGCCGTCTCGTGCTGTGCTGAGCCAGTGATACACATTTGTGACGGAATGACTGCATCGCCGACTGGAGGTAGAATAGAAAGGTGCAAAGCCAGGGCCTTGAAGCACGCAGATACATGGTGTGCAGCCTCCTTTGTGGAGGAGTGTCTTGGGCTCATAAAAGCATTTGTTCCTTGTGGCATAGTGGTGTCCCCAGGTCTACTGTGTGGGAAAGACTGTCCCAGCAGGTTGAGGGCCTGACATGCTTATGGCGCATGGGGTTCTCTTCAAAATACAGGAAAGCCCACCAGCTGCTTCTGAGGACAGGGAGGAGAAGAAACTGGTTTTGTCATTCCCTCATCAACCTGCTTTCTGTGATTTGGAGGAGTCTGTTGCTGTGACTGCTGCAGACATACAGTGGGATTTGGGGCCTTGGATTTTAAGTCCTTCATGCAGCAGAAAAAAGGGATATGAACCACACACCTTTCTGCCTGGGCAAGCGTCAGCTTTTGCCTTCTCTGCAGTGCATCATTTGCAGTAGGAAAGATAATGTATTCCCATGAGCGAGAAAAATAAATGAAAGCCATCAGTTTTGTGTAAAAGGTAAAGGTAAAGGGACCCCTGACCATTAGATCCAGTTGTGGCCGACTCTGGGGTTGCGGCACTCATCTCGCTCTATAGGCCAAGGGAGCCGGCGTACAGCTTCCGGGTCATGTGGCCAGCATGACTAAGCCGCTTCTGGCAAACCAGAGCAGCGCACGGAAACGCCGTTTACCTTCCGCTGGAGCGGTACCTATTTATCTACTTGCACTTTGACAATCTTTCGAACTGCTAGGTTGGCAGGAGCAGGGACCGAGCAACGGGAGCTCACCCCGTCACGGGGATTCGAACCACCGACCTTCCGATCGGCAAGCCCTAGGCTCTGTGGTTTAACCCACAGCGCCACCTGCACCACAGTGCCACCCGCACACAGCGATGACATTAGTGAGCATCTAATAAAGATAAGCAGGGACGCGGGTGGCGCTGTGGGTAAAAACCTCAGTGCCTAGGACTTGCTGATCGCAAGGTCAGCGGTTCGAATCCCCACGGCGAGGTGAGCTCCTGTCGTTCGGTCCCAGCTCCTGCCCACCTAGCAGTTCGAAAGCACCCCTAAGTGCAAGTAGATAAATAGGGACCGCTTTATAGTGGGAAGGTAAACGGCGTTTCCGTGTGCTGCGCTGGTGCTGGCTCACCAGATGCAGCTTCGTCACGCTGGCCACGTGACCCGGAGGTGTCTCCGGACAGCGCTGGCTCCCGGCCTCTTGAGCGAGATGAGCGCGCAACCCTAGAGTCGGACACAACTGGCCCGTACGGGCAGGGGTACCTTTACCTTTAATAAAGATAAGCACCAACACTGATACACATGCAGGAACTTTTACAGCAGAGACAGCAAATTTGTGTGTCACACCCCCCCCCAGCTCAATTGCCATACCAGCAGGCCCATGGTCAGGGATTAGGGGAGGTGGGGTTCAACAACATCTGGAGGGCTACCGGTTTCTCATCACTGCATTTGGTGGTGGGATAGAATATTGCTTAAAGCAGAGATTTTCAATGCTTTTGAGTCCATGGTTCCCTTGACCAACATTCTTTCTGGCACCCCTGTGGGGCTCAGGAGCCCAGTTACGCCACCCCTTGCCTGCGGAGCCGGCAGCCCCCCACCGCTTTTTGAACACCCTCTTTTGTGAAGTGTTCCCTCAGCCTCCTCTCCCTTCTCCTTGGGAGTCCTCTGGACAGTTGCAGCTGCTGCCCCTGGTCTCTGAGCTGCCCCAAAGAGAAGTGCCTCCTCACTCTGCCCCACAGGGGCCTGGGAAGCACCCCCTGGCCAGCGCCAGAGGCACCATTCACCTGGGCCGTGCAACCCTTTGGGAGGCAGAGATGTGAGAGGACATCAGAGGAGGGAGGGAAGGAAAGAGGGACAGAGGCCAGTGTTGCCTGCGACACCCATGACTGTCATTCAAGGCACCCCAGGGTGCCACAGCACACTGGTTGAAAACCACTGGCTTAAAGGATTCTGAATTCTTGAAGGAAAGGAGAGAGTGGGGGGAGGGACACATATCCCTTTTATTGTGGGCTGAGTAAATATGGCACGAGTGCCATTCAAGCCCTGCAAACTGGAGTTGTCATTCATATTGCTAGATACACAAGATCACATGGAATACAGTCAGTAATAACCCTCTGGGTCTGCCACAGAAATCGTGTGTGTGTGTGTTTGGCGCAAGGACCAGCCCTCTGCCCTTAATGGGTATGCCAGACCCTTTCCCTAAAAATGTCATCCTAATTATATTTTTATTTATTTTTTAAAAAATGAACAGCTAGCTCTTCTACTGATTGAGATAAAAGTGAGCAGTCAGTACTCTGCCACCCAAACTTACAGGCCGGTTGGTGAGCAATGGTGCCCGTATCATACCCACCCCCTTCAAATCTTACAGAAACAGGGAAAACCCCGTCTTCAACTTTGAACTCTTCTACTGTCTTCTCACATTGAGGCAAGACACTTAGGCACACACCTCATGCCCCCCCAACCAAGGCTCCCTGTGTCCTGAAGTGAGTTGGGTCCCTTCTGCCACCCATGCTGATGCCAAGGTAAATGGGGATGTTTATGATGTCCAGCACTGAAAAGATAAATGCACAGCAGGAACAGTAATTAAGTTTTGCTCCAGCTCTCCCAAGCTTGGTTCTTTCCAGAAGAGTTGCTGTTCCGACACACCACCTCTAGGCGTCACTGTTGGGTCTGTTAACAATAGTTGTGTGCTGTCTAATTGGCACACCTGTGCCAGTCCTGGGAAGTGCGCCAGGGCATCGTTGCCAGCGTTAGCAGTTCATCCAGCGCTCGGCTGTGCTCAGTGGGTAGCCCCGGTCTACTCTCAGTTGGTCGTTGAGTCTCCAGTAGATGCCGCCCTTGAAAAAGTAGACTTTGCCGTTCTCCCAGGTGAACGCGGCGTCCAGGTGTGATGGCGCCCCTGAGAAAAGGCTGGAGATTTTCCTGGGGAGAGTGGAGAAGTGGCTTCCCAGTTCGTCCCATTGCCAGTAGCCCGTGCCCTAGGGAAAAAAGAGAGGAATGGTTGCGCTTTCCCCAGTAATAATAGTAATAATAATTTTATTATTTGTACCCCACCCATCTGACTGGGCTGCTCCAGACCCTCTGGGTGGCTTCCAGCATATACAAAAACATAACAAAACACTAAACATTTAAAATGTCCCTATACAGGGCTGCTTTCAGATGACTTCTAAAGGTTGTTCCATTTCCTCTGGTGTTCCCCACAGAGATAAGAAACTAGGAGATCTATCTATCTATCTATCTATCTAGGATCTATCTATCTATCTCTCTATCTATCTATCTATCTATCTATCTAGGATCTATCTATCTATCTATCTATCATCCGTCATCTATCTCCTAACTTTTCCATTTTGAGGTGAAAGTCACCACTGGACATGAAAAAGTGTACGTGAAACGGTACCGAGCAAAAGGCTTTTTATTACTGTTTAAAAACGTGCTGCTGGAAAGGCAAACAAGAAAACCATTCAGCCAGAAAGCAGGCAGTGATCACCCTAACCTCCCATTGTATTGGCCATTTTGCCACCACTAGAACAGTGTGAGTCCCTCTTCCCTCTGTTGCCTTCTGCCTGCTCCTACGGAGAGTACTCAATCCATCTCCACACCCTTCTCTTTTGTCTCTCATCACCTCAAAGCTAGCATCCACCTGTCAAGGCTAATACTCAGAGAGCATCTGTTGTGCCCATTATGTCCCCTCAAAAATCTCCCACAATGCCTTGGGGCCTAGGGAATTCCTGCTTCTTTCTACCCCTCCCCAGTAAATGCCAGTGAATTGGGACATGAAAGGTGCCGCATGGATCAGAGGAAAGGAATATTTAAACAGCACAGAACGAACACTGTTGCGACTTAAAGGCCAATATCCCCACACCCTAATCATTCATTCGCCCAAATTTTCTATTATTTGTCCCTCTGCTCACATTCTGCTTCTAGGGAGCTCATTTGTTGAAATTATCCCTGCCTCAATACTAGCCAATAGTCGTCAGTCCCTTAGGTTTATTTCACAACATTCATATACCGCTTCATTGCGATAAAACCTCTAAGCCATTTACCAAAAAAACCCCAAACCCCACCAAACCCCTAAAATATGAAATTAACAACAGAAGACCATTAAAACCAGGCATTTAAACATATTCAAAAGATAATTAAAATTGACAGTAAGCAAAAAAAAGAGAGATTAAAACACATGTCTGCGTTCTACATGTCTGGATAGCGTAAGAGATAATGTATTGCAATTGTTGTTATTGCAGTTTACCTTAAAGATGAAGATCTTCTTGTTTTGAGGCCAGTAGAGGGCAGCGTCTATCTTAGCTGGGATGCGGGTGAGGGGTTTGGGATAGCCAGGATCCAGCTTAAATCCCCGGTAACGCCACAGTTTAATACCTGTAGCCAGAGTGACACGAATTAATAAGGAGGCAATGCGAGGATAACACACCAGCTGACTAAAAGCTGGCAATACAAATGCAATCTGTGTCAGAGGCGTAAGCAGTTCTCAACCTGTGGGTCCCCAGATATTGTTGGACTACAACTCCCATCATTCCTGAGCTCTGGCCTTGCTAACTAGGGGTGATGGGAGTTGTAGTTCAACATCTGGGGACCCATAGGTTGAGAAAGGCTGGTTGGCCCTTTGGGGCTTGTGGGAGAAAAAAAAGGGGAATAATAATAATAATAATAATAATAATAATAATAAATTTTTTATTCCCCCAGCCACTCTGGACGGCTCCCAACAGAATATTAAAAACACGATTCAAACATCAAACATTAAAAACTTCCCTAAACAGGGCTGCCTTCAGATGTCTTCTAAAAGTCAGATAGTTGTTTATTTTCTTGACATCAGATGTCTTCTAAAAGTCAGATAGTTGTTTATTTCTTTGACATCTGATGGGAGGGCATTCCACAGGGCAGGTGCCACTACCGAGAAAGCCCTCTGCCTGGTTCCCTGTAGCTTTGCTTCTTGCAGGGAGGGAACCGCCAGAAGGCCCTCAGAGCTGGACCTCAGTGTCCAGGCAGAACGATGGGGGTGGAGACGTTCCTTCAGGTATACTGGGCCGAGGCTGTTTAGGATTTAAAGGTCACCACCAACGCTTTTGAGTTGCACACAGCTGATCAAGACAAAGAAGAGCCGCATCTGCAGAGGTACACGGCCTTTGGCGTAATAATCATAGTCACAATCTCTCTCCAAAGGACCAGGTTTAGATCATTTAGGGAAGCGGTAAGCTTATTTCTCAACTCTCACACCCACAGACCTTTGAAGAAGTAAGTGCGCCCAGTGCGGGGAGAATATACAGCTGCATCCAGCCCCCCAGGCAGCCCCTTCCACAGCGCCGAGATCTTCATGGGTGGGTTGGTACCAAAGTCTGTCACCGTCCACACGTAATCGCCACGGAAAGCGTAAGTCTTGTCATAGGGCCCTAGGCAAGGTGCAGAAGAGATGGACCAAATGTTAAAAAGTGGGAATCTAGCATGCTAATCTTTTTAGTCCTGAAAGGGGTGTGTTTCTGCTTTGAGTCAGTTTTGCATGTGTTCATTCATAAATCCAGTGCTTTTTTTCCTGGGGGGACGCATACCCCTAAACATTTTGTGAATCTAACGGGAGAAGAAACTAAAAATGTAAAAAAATAAAATAGGTTCTTCTCTAGGAAGGTGAATCGTCAGTTCCGTTGCTACCCCCAATGGAGGCCTCATTTTCTGTCACGGTGTTTCCTGAGTCTCAGACGGAATGAGACTCCGTTTTTTTGACTGTGGCTTGTGACTTCGTTTTTGTGACTTGTTTTTGTGACTGTGTGTCACAAAATCAGTTTTTGCAACTGATTGGTTGATTTTGTGACTGCAGAAATGTATAAAAGCCCCCCATCCAAACAATGACTATAATCAGTGCACATAAGGGGGGGAAATTAATTTTAATGTTTATCATCTACAATACTGTATTATTTATTTTATAGTATAGTACATTGATTATTGCTTTCATTTTATGGATCAATGGTCTCATTAGATAGTAAAATTCATGTTAAATTGCTGTTTTGGGGGTTGTTTTTAAAAGTCTGGAACGAATTAATTAATCTGTTTTGCATTACTTTCTATGGGAAAGCACACCTTGGTTTTGGAACAGACTTCTGGAACGGATTAAGTTTGGGAATCAAGGTACCACTGTATAATGAAACATCATATAGCCAGCTAGAAAGGGATACCGGGGAGACATCCATTTATGCAAACCTGGGATGGGTGGAGTATGTTCTGGAAGGTGGTGATGTTTGGATTTTGGGGTTGGAGTGAGGAAGGGGCCTTACCTAGCATGATAGCATCCAGTCCATCTTTGCATGGGTTAGGAATTTTACTAGGCTTCTGTGAAACAGCCGGGACAGTACTGTGGGCAGGTGAAGTCACTGTCGTTGATGTCGTTGGGATGGTCTTCTTGCCTGCAGGTAAATATAAGGAAGGGAATTATTTTTGGGTGCCCAGCATCTCCACCAAAAAGAAAAAAGAAAAAGGAAGGGAAATAATTGTAAAAGTGTTGGAAATGGAAAGAGAAAGAAGGTTTCTTTTTATCCTATGAGGTGGTCTTGTGGCAAGGTTAAAGCTTACTGCGAAATGATATATAATGAATTGAAAAAGATGTTTAAAATAACATTTGTAAAAAAAAAGACAGAATCTTTCCTTTTCGGAACTACAGGGGCAGAACTACCCAAACTGTACAGAAATTTATTCACGTATGCGGCTACAGCAGCAAGAATGTTATTTGCGAAAAAATGGAAAGAAGAAGTTCTGACGGAAGAAGAAAGGAGACAAAAACTTATGGAATATGCAGAAATGGTGAAACTTACTGGAAAAACAGGAAATCAAGATAACAACTTTTTAAAAAAATAAAAGAATGGAAACGGTTTATTGAATATTTACAAACAAACTTTAAACAGCTAAGGATATTGGCAGGATTATTGTAATAACCTGCAGTTTTATACGTTTAAAGTAGATGAATAAATGATTAAGTTAATTTGGAATATGCAGAGAGAGAGAGAGAGAGAAACTGAAGAAAGAGGGGGAAGGAAGTCAAGTTTCGAATGGTTAAAATGATTGTAAAATTATTAAAATGTATAAAATTGAGAAGTCATATATATTAAAGGAAGGGAAATAATTGGGGTGAGAAAGAGGGTGGAATTCTTGGCCGGCTACTGATTCCTTGGCACTGGATTGACAAGTTGGCGTTTTGCCTCCTAACCCATCCAGAACCTACTTGAGGAAGGATCAGGAAGAAGTTCTGGTGTTACCTGGCAACTGTCCGCACCTCCCCTAGAGAGCAGCGGCCCGCCTCATGATTTGAAAACAGGCCCAAGCCTCTCATAATTAGGAACAGGCCTCCCTGTTGCTAGGGTATACAGAGCACGAAACAGAGCATGAAGGCAGCCGTGGGTGGGGTGGTGGGATGCAGAGAGAGGAAATGAGTGTTGGAATTGGGGCAGGGGGTGATCCAGAGGAAAGGCAGAACCATTTCTTTGAAGGTTTAGGATTATCACTTAATAGTTTGTCACGAAGACCGACCATACATATTTTCTACATGGACACCACACCTTTGGAAAAACAGCTGCCTCAAAGACAAACTTGCACTCATTGTACATTAAAATGGGGTGGGGTTTGAGTGGAGGATAAGAATAATATGTCTATAGAGCATATCCTCCCCTGGCTTCATTTAAACATTTATTTTAAATGTAATTCATCATCATTTTAAAAATATATCTACACTGCTATAAAACCTCACAGCACTTTACAAATTAAGGAATACAGTGGAACCTTGGTTCTTAAACGGCTTAGTTGATGAACAAATTGGCTCCCGAACGCCGAAAATCCAGAAGTAAGTGTTCCGGTTTTTGAACGTTTTTCAAATGTCTTTCAAATGTTTTTCGAACGTCCAACGCTCCTGCAGCCAATTTGTTTTCAAAAGGTTTCGGGAGTCGAACGGACTTCCAGAACAGATTACTTTCAAGAACCAAGGTACCACTGTATTACAATACAGAGAACTGGGTTGTTTTAAAACAAAAAAAGTATTATTTTCATGACTTTGATATACTTGGACTGCTTTTTAGCTGGACTCTGGGAGGCTCCCAATGACCCAAATGAGGCATAGGCAACTGGCAGGTGTAGAAGAGACAGGGAACACACATTATCTGGCCCCAAGGACTTCGCATCTTCCTCCAGCCTTGATTCCCAAGACCCTTCCCTGGCTTTATGGCACACCTCAGTCAAGTGCCTGAGGCCCGCAAGATGGAAAGACCTGAGGGCCAAATTTGGTGTCAGTTGTTTAAACCCAGATCTGCTCCCATCGCATTCAAAGCAAGGGGCGCAGGTTTGCAAAACGAAAGGGGAACATTGGTGGGCTGTGCTTTGTAACCCTCCCCCAGTCCGTACCATAAAGGGCCTGGATGCCTTCGATGTCGTCGCGGTGCAGTCGGAAGCGCAGGCGGTAACCGCTGTAGGCGGGAGCCATGAGGGCACCCGGTTGCCGGGAGTGGCCCAGCCCCAGAGCATGGCCAATCTCATGGGCGGCAATGATGCGCAGGTTGACGCCGCGCGAGGTCCCTTCTGTCCAGTGCTCATCGGAATCAAAGTGAACTGTGCCTAACTCAGGGATGTCAGCATGGGCCAGGACATGTCCTGAGGAAGATAAAGGAAGGCGGGTTGAGAGCTGTGCGAGAAGCTCTTGCAAACTAAGCTAAGCTAAACCTAAACCTAAACCTAAACCTAAGCTAAACCAAGCCAAACTATGCTAAACTAAGCTAAGCTAAACCAAGCAAAACTAAGCTAAAATAAACTAAGCTAAAAAGGTAAAGGTAATGGACCCCTGACAGGTCCAGTCGCAGACGACTCTGGGGTTGTGGCGTTCATCTCGCTTTACAGGCTGAGGGAGCTGGCGCTTGTCTGCAGACAGTTTCTCCAGGTCATGTGGCCAGCATGACTAAGCCGCTTCTGGCAAAACCAGAGCAGCACACGGAAACACCGTTTACCTTCCCGCTGGAGCGGTACCTATTTATCTACTTGCACTTTTTGGCACGCTTTTGAATTGCTAGGTTGGCAGGAGCTGAGACCGAGAAACGGGAGCTCACCCCATCACGGAGATTCGAACCGCTGACCTTCTGATCAGCAAGCCCAAGAGGCTCAGTGGTTTAGACCACAGCACCACCCACGTCCTAAACTAAGCTAAGATAAACTAAGCTAAGATCTATAATAATTATAATGTATGCAGATGTGTTGCACCCCACCTGTGTAGCAAAAAGCTATACCAAATCTAGTGAAAGTGCCCTGTATAAACTACAAATAAAAGGTAAAGGGACCCCTGACCATTAGGTCCAGTCGTGGCCGACTCTGGGGTTGCGGCACTCATCTCGCTTTATTGGCCGAGGGAGCCGGCGTACAGCTTCCGGGTCATGTGGCCAGCATGCCTAAGCCGCTTCTGGCGAACCAGAGCAGCACACAGAAATGCCGTTTACCTTCCCGCCGGAGCGGTACCTATTTATCTACTCGCACTTTGACGTGCTTTCGAACTGCTAGGTTGGCAGGAAAACTACAAATAGGCACATGCTAATGGTCATATTGAGTGAAATGCGACAAGGATGAATCTTTGCTTCTTTTCCAAGCCCACTGCAGCACAGAACGACAGAATCAGCTATTTAGACCAATCCATTCTTCCCTGTGATTTAAGAAACCGCCTCAGCTTTAAAGTAGGGCAATATCTGGTTTTCAACATCGTGATATATCAGCCACAAAACATTGCGATGTACCGATATATATCATGATGTCTGAAATAAGGATGGAGGCATTGGCCAGTTTCACGGTTTCCCCCACATCGTGATTTTTGCCAGCGCCTGCTCTCGTTCAAACCAGTTTGGGATGATGCATCACTTTAAAGTCAACCCATTCTGGCACAAGAGAGAGCCTGCTCCTGTGCCTCCTCCCCATCGCTCCACCTGACCACGAAGCACCTCCTGTTGATGCTTCCAGCTTCTGGTACCCCCTAACACCCCCTCAGCAGACGCTCCATCAAATCTCTGCAGCACAGCAGATCACACCTCCCTGTGGCACACCGCTTCAAGATCCCTGCTCCTTGCCAGCCCTATTCTACTCCCCAAGTCACTCCCCAACCCCCCCCAACCCCTGAGAGTAAAGCTTGGGTCCATACCAGGCCCATCAAAGGGCCGTGAGCAGCCCCAAGTAGAAGTGCCGTGGAAGGAGAGGCGGATGTCAGCACGGCCGCTTCGCACCTCCTGGAAGGTGAGCCGGGTCACGTCACTCCAGTACTTGAAAGCTGTCTGGATGGCAGTGCGTGTGGCTGCGGCCCCCAAATCCTCACTGTGGCTGTAGATCCTGTAGGTCAAGTGCTTTTTGCGCCAGCGTCCTGCAGGGGGAGACCCAGAGCAAGAGGTGTCAGAAACGGGGGCTTTTATCCCAGGAAAGTCACAGCTTAGCTTGGGTTATGTGATAGGAATGTTGAGGTCTTAAGGTAAAGGTAAATGGACCCCTGACCATTAGGTCCAGTCGTGGCCAACTCTGGGGTTGCAGCGCTCATCTCGCTTTATTGGCCGAGGGAGCCGGCGTACAGCTTCCAGGTCATGTGGCCAGCATGACTAAGCCGCTTCTGATGAACCAGAGCAGCACACGGAAACGCCGTTTACCTTCCCGCCGGAGCGGTACCTATTTATTTATTTGCACTTTGACGTGCTTTCAAACTGCTAGGTTGGCAGGAGCAGGGACCGAGCAACGGGAACTCACCCCGTCACGGGGATTCGAACCGCCGACTTTCTGATCGGCAAGTCCTAGGCTCAGTGGTTTAACCCACAGCGCCACCCGCGTCCCATGTTGAGGTCTTAGATATATGTTAAATGTTCATAAATGTACCAAGCAAGCATTTACATAGATCAGCACAGGAAGACCGACCTGGAAAATGGAAAAGCCTCCCCATTGTCTTTTCCTTCACAAATCCTGTCTTAAGGGCACATTTAAGATATGAATAGGGTGTGAGCCTGTGACCTGGCTCAGGAACTAAGTATTTATCATTACAAAAGACTGGCCAGGCTCCCCAGGCAATGCAATCAAGTAAGCATTAACAGGTAACTTGCCAGACAGGAGGTAAACAACCCACTCGGACTTCTGCTGTAGACCGCCCATTCTGTGATGTAGGTATGATGTTTCTGGGGGTGGTCTTGAGCTCCAGGGCGGGAAATTTAAAATGTCTATATAAGGGCGGACAAACCTGGGTTCTGGGTTCCTCCTCCTTTCCTGTGTGTGAGGGGAGCACCCTGTTGCAACAGATCAATAAAGATCAGGCTTACTAGCTGCTTTGCTTCTCAATATTCTCTGGTTGGCCTCTGTTATTTTTTCCTACCAATAGGGAACTTACGTAAGGACTCCGTATGGGCTCTTGGATACCCCATAAGGGAAAAGGGCAGATTTTTGTTTACAACGGTTACAGGGAGAAGGCGTAACAAACTCTTTACTTAATAGGGAGCCCGGTTTTCAGAGCATGAAAACCTTACAGCATCCAAGCAACAAGAGAGATGTAACAAGAGGCTTGGGTGGTTGAGGGCATTCCAAGGATTGCAGAAGTACAAAAAAAAAATACGTTTATGGGGAAAACGCTTGTGGTGGTCAATCAGTTCAGTGAAGAAGAGAACGTGCTCACTGGCCATGGACAGTTGGGGAAAACAGACAACGGGTGGAAGGAAATGGAGTATCCTGAGAAAGGTCATGGCTTGCTGGTTGGCTGGCTGGACAAACAGGAACACTCCACATTGCAACATTTTGTTGCAGTTCAATTTGTTCCAGACAGTTCTTTGACTAAGCCTGCATCCTTCTGCAGACTTACTGGGGGGGAGGGGAGTCCCAAGGAAATCAATGGGATTTACTTTTGAATATGATCCGGCTGCATGTCTTATTCATGATACTGCAGTCATTTCCAGACCCCCATTCTTGACTCAGAGCTGGTTCATATGCCCATTCTGCCTCCAGAGACTCTTATTTTTTTTTAAAAAATTACTGCTTGTGGCCAATGTGTCACCAACTTCAATGGATTTCAAAATTGTTTCCCAGCAAACTCTGCACTGCTTCAGAAGCTAATTGAGGTTGTTTACTTGCCAACAAAGGTTCGTATAGTTAAAGCTATAAAGAAGGGAGCGCAAAATATGGTCTGAAGCTCAACATCAAAAAAACAAAGATCATGGCCACTGGGTCCATCGCCTTCTGGCAAATAGAAGGGGAAGAAATGGAGGCAGTGAGAGATTTTACTTTCTTGGGTTCCTTGATCACTGCAGATGGTGACAGCAGTCACAAAATTAAAAGACGCCTGTTTCTTGGGAGAAAAGCAATAACAAACCTAGACAGCATCTTAAAAAGCAGAGACATCACCTTGTCAACAAAGGCCCGTATAGTTAAAGTTATGGTTCTCCCAGTAGTGATGTATGGAAGTTAGAGCTGGACCATAAAGAAGGCTGATTGCCAAATAATTGATGCTTTTGAATTATGGTGCTGGAGGAGACTCTTGAGAGTCCTATGGACTGCAAGAAGATCAAACCTATCCATTCTGAAGGAAATCAGCCCTGAGTGCTCACTGGAAGGACAGATCCTGAAGCTGAGGCTCCAATACTTTGGCCACTTCATGAGAAGAGAAGACTCCCTGGAAAAGACCCTGACGTTGGGAAAGATTGAGGGCACAAGGAGAAGGGGACGGCAGAGGAGGAGATGGTTGAACAGTGTTTTCGAAGCTAGCAGCATGAGTTTGACCAAACTGCGGGAGGCAGTGGAAGACAGGAGTGCCTGGCATGCACTGGTCCATGGGGTCACGGAGAGTCAGACACAACTAAACAACTAAACAACAACAACAGGCCTGCAAAGGCCAGGGGACTCTTGCAACAGAAAATACCTCCGTTGATTCTTCTCTCACCAATCATGGATGTAGGAGACTCAGAGTGTCTTGGGGAGTTGGGCAGCGAAAGCCAACCCCTCATTTTTCTGCAGCCATTTCTTCAGCCATACATGATCACCACTACTGATCTTCCCTAGAAATGTGGATCTGCAGGAGACTTTGTCCTTGAAAGTTGGGTAATAGTGAGGCTGAACAGACCTGACTTTTGCCCTACATGTGTTTGTGTTGCAGAACATGCCTCTTCAATGTGCTGCAGTTTCTCAGCAGACAAGAATCCCATGATGATAGAAAAAGTTTGAAAACCACAGACTTCGGTTGTTTGCCAAGTGCTGAATCTGCGTTTTTACATGCCACCGTCATCAGTGTGGATGGAACAATGCATAAGACATTCCAACGTCTCTTAGCGGGGGCGGGTTAATTAGATAACCCACTTTCTACAAGCAGGAAGCTACAGAGCACGTCCTCAGCTAGCAGGACTTAATCCAAGCTTTGTCAAATCTTCCTTGACTCCACTTCTGGCTATGACACTGGCTGGCGCATAACATGGCAACAATGGCACATGGCTCGTGTGGTACCCAAGTTGGCCATAATGTCAGAAATCACAGTTTCAGCTGGTGGATGGGGATTCAGGTTTGAGCCTAAGTGAGATGGGTTCCAGTTCCGGTTTACCCAGAAACACTTTGGGAAAGTCTAGCCTCAGTTTCCCAACTGGGAAAAAATGGAAAATATCTTTTGTGCTATTTTTTAAAGTATTAGCTGCTTCCCCCCCTCAAGAAAAGGAACGCACCATGAGAAGAGCATCTTCATAACTAGAAACAATAACAACAAACAAATCAAATTCAGCTGATTTTTTTATAACAACCCAATAATCAGCAACCCAAGTTAATTACCACCTATAAAGAAGTGGGAGGAAGCTTTCATCTGCTGCCAAAAACTTAGCAAAGACAAGGCCATTCCAAAACTGTGGGGCCACCACTAAACAGACCTTATTCAAGGCATCTACAAATCTGTTTGCCAGCTCATCAGTTGCTTATGATATTAGCTACATGCTTGCTAGCTCACCACGGCTGTGTATGAACATTAAAAAGTACAAGAAGGCTCTGCTGATTTTTCAAATTATTTTTTAGCTTCTCCAAACGAGAAGAAATGACTTTACCCAGGCCCTCTGGCAAGTGCGATGACTTGGGATAACAGCAGGGTTTTGCGTTGCAGAGAAAAAACAACAAGAGGAGAAGGTATGCTTCTCCATACCTCCTGCACAGTTAAGAGAAAACCCTCTATCTCTGGGCAAGGGCAGGGTTTGGCTCGTAAATGAATACCATAATTCTGTAGGCCTCCATTTAGAAGTTCCATAGATTTCAATGTGTTTCATTGCTCTACGTAGGGCTACCTTTGAAGGTGACCCAGAAACTGCAATTAATCCAGAATGCGGCAGCTAGACTGGCTGCCGGGACCACATAACACCGGTCCTGAGAGATCTGCATTGGCTCCCAGTACGTTTCCGAGCACAATTCAAAGTGTTGGTGCTGACCTTTAAAGCCCTAAACGGCCTCGGTCCAGTATACCTGAAGGAGCGTCTCCACCCCCATCGTTCAGCCCAGAAACTGAGATCCAGCGCCGAGGGCCTTCTGGCGGTTCCCTCATTGCGAGAAGTGAGGTTACAGGGAACCAGACAGAGGGCCTTCTCGGTAGTGGCGCCCGCCCTGTGGAATGCCCTCCCTTCAGATGTGAAGGAAATAAGCAGCTATCTTCTCTTTAAAAGACATCTGAAGGCAGCCCTGTTTAGGGAAGTTTTTAATATTTAATGCTGTATTGTTTTTAACACTTGATTGGAAGCCGCCCAGAGTGGCTGGGGAAACTCAGCCAGATGGGCAGGGTATAAATAATAAATTATTATTATTATTATTATTATTATTATTATTATTATTATTATTATTGCATGGCACTAGTCTGACCACACAAAGCAATTTGAAGGACTAACAAATATACTTCCTAGAATTCTTGCACAGATGAGCTCGGCAGCACCTGTGAAGCACACTGTCCATTCAACCCTCCACTGGAATAGTTCATTATAAGGACAGCTCCAAACCCAGTGTTATTATGACTTCTGATCCCAACATTTCAACCTGCTGAATTCTCTGTTTAAAGATCCACACAGCAGGAGAACTCCTTTTTTAGGGAAATGCCTTCGCACCAGCTTCCCTCAGCCCTATCCATCTCTCTGCTTCGGCCAGGAGGAGAGATCATTTGCCCAGCATCTTGCTCAGCCCCAAATTCAACAGTTTGAAGAATGCTCACCCAAGAGTAGATATTTGAGGGTCCTCTCGTTGAATGGGTCTTCGACGCCGCAGCGGGGCTGCCGCATATGGGAGAGGGTTGCCGCATCCAGACGTCCAGTAGAACGTAGTCCTGATGCAAGCTGGAAAGCCCTAAGGGGGCAGAAGTTGGGGGAGCAGGAATGGAAGAAGTCAGCATTTAACTGTGGTTCCGACATGACAGGTGGTTTGTGCAACATGGTGAACCAAACTATGCCTTAGTGAGACTGTGCGAATGTGCAGGTTTCCAGAGAGAAGTTCACAGCCACTTTGCTCACCCCCAGCCACGCCGTGGGATCCCACGTATTCATATACAGTGGTACCTCGGGTTAAGTACTTAATTCGTTCCAGAGGTCCATTCTTAACCTGAAACTGTTCTTAACCTGAAGCACCACTTTAGCTAATGGGGCCTCCTGCTGCTGCCGTGCCACCGGAGCACGATTTCTGTTCTCATCCTGAAACAAAGTTCTTAACCCGAGGTAATATTTCTGGGTTAGCGGAGTCTGTAACCTGAAGCGTATGTAACCTGAAGCGTATGTAACCCAAGGTACCACTGTATTCTCACTAAAAGCAGGGAACTATAGGAATGGTAGCTTTGTGAGGGGGAACAGTGGTCTCCTAACAATACTCAGCACCCTTAAAAAACTACAGCTCCCATAATCCTTTGGGGGGGAGGGAAGCCATGACTGTTTAAAGTGGTTTAATGGTGCTTTAAATATATGGTGGGAATGTGGCTTAAGCCATGATCTGGCCCTACCATGTTGTGGAAACCAGGTCGTTATGAGATGCTTCGCAGGGCAAATCGAAGCGTTTGTAATGGTTTCCCCTTGTTGTTTGGGTTGGGCTGTGTGTTTCTTGTTTCGTTTACCTCACGGCTCAACTTTTACCTCACAGCATTCTCGATCTCCTCTTCTGTCAAGACATCCGAGAAATGCTCCAGTGGCTTCTCTAAGTATCCGAACTGCAGCAGGAAGTCCTGAAATGATGACACTTGTTAAAACCAACTCTCAGCCCCATCTCATTGGCACAGTCTCTCAGAGAACGGGCAGGAGGCCCACAAGGGCGTTCTTGTAAAGAGACCAGCTTCTGTGGCAATGAGTGTTGCTGGGTGGGCAACAGACCACAGTTTGGACTGGCTTTCCCCATGCTTTATATCTCTTTAAATACGCTCCCTGCCCTTCTTTTTACAGGGAAACCTACTAAGCAGAATGTGGATGTGCTGGTCTGGAGCCAAGAGATGTGTACATGTTGTCCCTTATTCTCACTTAATAGCTAAATATGGGAACAAGGTATCCTCCTGATTTCCATCTCCATAGGCCCGATTCCACTCCAGCACTTAAGCATAAAAGCTCCAGCTTCTCCTTTCTAGACATGTCGGGAAACTCAAACTACCACCATGCTTACTCAGCAAATAAGAGGCTGGCCACAGCCATCTCTGCCATCAACCCTCCTCTATAGAAATCTCAAATGTCACGGCATCATTCCTTGCTTTTGCAATGATGTGCACAGTACTTGTTTTTCTGCACTTTTCCACAACTGGATCTATGGCAGGCATAGGCAAACTCGGCCCCCCAGATGTTTTGGGACTACAACTCCCATCATCCCTAACTAACAGGACCAGTGGTCAGGGATGATGGGAGTTGTAGTCCCAAAACATCTGGAGGGCCAAGTTTGCCTATGCCTGACCCACGGTCTGCCTGCTGCTACAACCAAACAGATTTCCCCACCCATATCCAACAGGGCAGGGGTCCTCAAACTTTTTCTGCCTGGTGGCGCATTTGGAAATCCAAGAAACTGTTGCAAGCACCATTATTTCACAGAAGAAAAACTGGTGATGATCAGGAACAACGGCCAAAACATTATACCCAAACTCCTCACTCTTCAAAAGGGTACCTTAGTCTTTCAACAAGTTCCACATACTGTCAGAAGCACCAGACTTTCCTATTACTTCTAAAGAGTTTGTAATTGTTAAGGCCGTTCTCCCAGAACTTTCTAAGTCCATCTCAATTCCGTATATCAAGCAGACAGTTAACAGACAATTAAATTAAATCTCAACTCCAGTGGATCAGTACAGGGGCAAAGGGCTAGAACCTCTGTCCCCAAACCAAATCGAAATTGGGACACCAAGCAGACGCTATTTGAAAAAGAAAATTACATGGGAAGTTCCAAGCACGGAACACCAGTGTAAGATGTAGCTTTGCCCTTCATTCTTGCAAAGGCTTTCTCCATCTTGCACAAAACAGATACATAGCTCAACAAATACTGCTTTACACAATAAATACTGGTTTACAAAGAATGTCCAGTTTTCCTTTTTGGACCCCACATTCCCATTTGCTGTACTCTTCTTTTGGAGGGGTTCTGTATCCCATTTTAAGTAACATCCAGTGGGTTGAGAGCTGGTGGGGAAAACTAAACTGCTGCTTTTTTTTAATCTGCTGGTGATTACCTCCCTGCCCCTGCCCCTGCCCCCCCCACTCATGCCAGACTGCTATTACTTTACTTGTTTGCTATGAGCCAAAACTGCCCTTCTACATGCCACTTCAAGTCTTCTCCATGTCAACCAAAGCTGTAAGTTCTGCTCATGGCAAATGAATCAGTTAAATGACCGTTTTAACACAGGCAAGGCATCACCAAGGGCAAAAGAAAGAAAAAAGGAAGCCTCCATGTTCAAAGCAGCAGCAGCACACTTTGGATAGGTCACAGAGAAAGCATCTAGTCTTTCTTCTAGCATTTCCCAAATATATCTCATTCTTTAACTTGCCCTTGGTTCGCAGAGACTTCTTTGGTGCCTAAAACAGCTGGATAATCTTGCAAAGAGGGACGCGGGTGGTGCTGTGGGTTAAACCACAGAGACTAGGACTTGCTGATCAGAAGGTTGGCAGTTCGAATCCCTGTGACGGGGTGAGCTCGGTCCCTGCTCCTGCCAACCTAGCAGTTCAAAAGCACCTCAAAGTGCGAGTAGATAAATAGGTACCACTTTGGCGGGAAGGCAAACGGCGTTCCCGTACGCCGCTCTGGTTCGCCAGAAGCGGCTTAGTCATGCTGGCCACATGACCCGGAAGATGTGTGCCGGCTCCCTCGGCCAATAAAGCGAGATGAGCTCCACAACCCCAGAGTCAGTCATGACTGGACCTAATGGTCAGGGGTCCCTTTACCTTTTTTAATCTTGCAAAGGGAATGGATGTTTCAGGAATTAGGACACCTGGCTAAGAAAATCTACCATACGTCTCAGGAGAATAAGACAGATATATCTTGAGATTCTTTGGAAGAGGGTAGGAATACAGGAAGCTGCCCTCTTTATAATGAGCCAGAACATTGGTCCATCTAGCTCACAACTGTCTGCACAGACTGGCAGGGATTCTTGGGGTTTTTAGGGAGGGAATATTCCCAGCTCTACAGGAGATGCCAGGGAATGAACCCAGAACCTTCTGCAAGCAAGGGAGATGTTCTTCCCATGAGCTACAGCCTTTCACTAAGCAGAAGCAAACCCAAGGTTGGGGGAACAGTGGAGAATGCAAGCTGGGTTCAAGGAACAAGAGTAAAACTGTGAAGAAAAAGAAGGAGGAAAAGGAAAAGAGAAGTCAGCACTAGGATAGCCGAGAGACTCTGCTTTCCTACTCCACATCCCGCACAAACACACCACAAACAGCTCACAAAGGGTGGAAACTCCTTGCCAATCTTCTGCACAGCAGCCAAAGCGGTTTGCTTCTGTTATGATTGCCCACCGCACCCACCCATAAATGTTCAGCTTGGTTCCTGCTGCTACAGGGAGGCCCAGGCAGCTGAGGGTTCCTTTTGGCCAGAGAAATCTTCCTCCAGGCCTCCTGTCCCTTTCTGGGGAAAGTTTGCACTAAACAAAGCTTTGCAAGATAAGCCAGGAGACACGGATAAGGCTGGAGGCATCTAGGAAAGTTTCAAGGTTCAATTGCCAGGACTGAAGGCCTGCAGAAAGTCGGAAAAGTCTGGGGTTGGGGTTGTAGGTCACAGCTGAGGAACAATCCTACCCTGCTTGTCCACATTCTCCCGTGTGACCCCCATCACTGCAAATGCACTGACTCCACTTCTCAGCCTACAGACTTAGAGGGGCCACCCAAGCCCTACATACCATGGCTTCTTTCTTCTCCGCTTGGTTGAGAGCAGCACCTTTGGAAGAGCCGATCAAAGCATAGACCTGGAACAGCAGCAGCAGCAATGGAAGCTGTGGCAGCCTCATGTCCAGTTTCTCCTTAGACCCTCGACAGCAACACAGAGCAACGCTTCCTTGCAGGAAACTCCACACAGCTCTTCAGAAACTGCTTTTGCTGGAAGGGAACCCAAGAGGCGCTGGAGCTCTTTCTCTCCACTTCCTCCCTCCGCGGCTCAAGCTTTGCTCTGCCCTCCCTGCTCCCTCCGTCCATCCATATCTTCGCTCCCTGCTTTCTCAAGTTTATAAATCTCCTAACAGCAGGAGTGAGTCATTTCCAACTCAAACATGTTGCAACCGCAAAGCCTGGAGGAGCCCCCTCTGCGAAGATTAACTCTTCGCAGAGCAAACACTCCCTGCAAGCCCTCCTGTTGCAAGGGCTGCTAATAACCAGGCCTGTAGGGTGGCATTGGGGTCTCATTGCGATTCAGATAAAGGCCTGCAATCTAGAGACACAAGAAAAGTAGTGCACCCCACCCGCAAAAGCAAACAATGCAAAAGAGAGTCTCTGCAGCTGCAAGGGCCTGTTGTAGGGATGGATAAATCTGTGGTCATCCAGATGTGGGGCTACTGTTCCCATCTTCCCTGACCATTGGCTACGCTGGCTAGAGCTGACGGGAGTTTGTAACATCTGGAGGGCCCCCACTCCTGGCCCACTGCCATCTCTGCAGTTGAATTCAGAGAATTCCCTGCAGTTTGTACTCATAGATGCACAAGTACCAGGAATGAAACCTGCATAACATTCTGTCAAGGCCTTGAGCTAAGGAAATCTCACTTGCTTCTTATTCCCCAGAAATGCTTTGGATAGGCCAGGCCTAGGCAAACTTGGCCCTCCAGATGTTTTGGACTACAACTCCCATCATCCCTAACCATTGGTCCTGTCAGCTAGGGATGATGGGAGTTGAAGTCCCAAAACATCTGGAGGGCCGAGTTTTCCTATGCCTGGGATAGGCTGGCACCACCGTATGGACACAGGCCTCCCCAGCAGGGCATGTCATCTTAAGGGGGTGAAACTTAATTTTTTGCAGATTTCTTCTGCAATGTGTTTTTGGGCGTGAGGAATTCCTATCTGCTATTATGTTTGTGATTTGGGACAACATCTAGCTTGGTAAATCTACACTCGGTGAAGAAGCACATAAACTGCTTTTGGAAAACCAAAGAATTGTAATTTTACCTTCTGAAAATGTCAAGTAATGTTTAATGATGATGATGATGATGGCATCCGTCTGTCTCAAGAGACAATGGAGTGCGCCTCCGGGGGTGAAATCAAACTGCTGTGCTAGCGGCACTGAAATGACCTCCCTGGGCGCAAGCCTGGGCAGTGTATATGGAGGTCCTGGGCTGCCCAGACGACAATATTCCTGCTCTTGGTCTCGCTGATGTGGTCCAAAGGAAAGAAGAGCACTACATTTGGCACCAGCACGGCTTCAGGAGCTGCCATACAAGTTCAATCATTTCAGGGACTCCAATCCGGATTTGTGTAGGGTTTACTCCTTCGCCTTTTCTTCTCCTACAAGGCAGCAGATGTCAAGGAGTCTTTCCTTCTCGTAGGTGGGCTACCTTCCCAAATTGACAAGCCCCATCTGCCCCTCACTTCCCTCTACGGCATGTGCAGAAACCGCCTTCTTGACCATTGGAGCCACTATTGGTCCCATTCACTTAATTCGACGGAGCCTGTCTTCGCATGCAGGGGAAGTCTCTAACTCCCTGAGGATATGAGACCCATCGACTACCCTCACTTGGTTTAGCCGGCCAGTCAAAGCCATTCCGTGGGTGTGGCTGCTGTCACAGCCTGACAGCTTCTAGGAGCCACAGGTGAGGGCTGAGTGCAGGGTGGGGACAAAAGGTGCACAAACTACCCCAGAAGGAGCTCAATGTGTCCCCCACCAGAGATACTACCCCTCCCCTAACACCCCATATACCCCAAATAATAATACAGTATATCGATGATAATAATAATGTATAAAATAACTGCAAGTACTTGGCAATAGTTTTTAATGATTTCTATGCAATTTTACTCACATTTTGCTTACCAGGCAAAATAAATTATATTAATTTAACCAAAACAACTTTTCAATTCCCAAGTCTTCTTTCAACCTTTTACTACCCCTCATTTTTTGGAATTTGAACATTGAAGGATTTAATACGCCCTAGGCTTACCAGGCCTCACCCCTATTGGGAATACAGTGGTACCTCGGGTTAAGAACTTAATTCGTTCTGGAGGTCTGTTCTTAACCTGAGGTACAACTTTAGCTAATGGAGCCTCCCGCTGCCGGCACGCCACCGGAGCACGATTTCTGTTCTCATCCTGAAGTAAAGTTCTTAACCCGAGGTACTATTTATGGGTTAGCGGAGTCTGTAACCTGAAGCGTATGTAACCTGAAGCGTTTGTAACCCAAGGTACCACTGTACCGGAACTCAGGCCAGGTGGCGGGGGGAATGACATAAATAATTGGGACAGGCAAGTCATGGAGCATGTACAGAGTGCATTTTCCCATATCGCTGAGTAATAACAGCCTTCCAAGCAAAAACCTATAACCGGAAGATTCCTAAATGTCGTTTGGCAAAGGAGTCCCTGTTGCAAACATGAGCCGCAACCCGTTCTCTTGTCCTCTTTCCGTACTCAGGCAAGAACTACAGAATGCTATATAAGAAGAGATCTGGTGCGCTGAAGAAAGGTGAAATGCTTACCAAGCAAATGAAATGATTCATGCAGGGGAGATGACTCACAAAGCAGCGGCACGCAATGACTCCTTCAAGGGAGCCAAGCCATATGGCAGCAGGACAGACAACAAGCTGCCCAGAGTCGTTGACCTATGTGGGTGAGTAAAGTGGTAGGGATCTCAGGTCAAAGGGCGTATTTTGAAACAATCCTGAGTCCTCTGGTGTGCTGGTCCCGGGGGTAAGGTACCTTGGGTGTAGCAGAGTCCACACGAAGAGGGGCAAGGTCCGAGGCAGAGAGCCGGGCGGGGAACAGGAATGCTGGAACAGGAGGCTGTGCAGGGAACAGGAACACCGGATGGTCGGGAACAGGAGGCCGAGCAGGGAACAGGAGTACCGGATAGTCAGGAACAGGAAGCCGAGCAGGGATCAGGAACACAGGAAGGTCCAAGGCAACAACGACGTTGCTCCCGCAACCTGGGGCCGGGCTGACTGGGCTTTTATCCTCTTCTAAGGCCAGGGGCGGTCCCGGTCCCCAGGAGCCCCGCCTCCTCTGGCCTTAAGGCGAGCACTCCTCCTGGGGGCAACCAGTTCCCTTCGCCTCTCTGCCCTAAGCCTCTGCAGATCAGGAGAGGCCGAAGGGTTACTGGGCCCTGGAGGAGGCTCACCTGTGGCCACTGAGTCATCAAGCCCCTCTGGGGCCCGAAGGGCTTCACCTGGGGCCAGCTCCTGATGCACTGCCACAGGTGCAGGCTCTTCAGCATCAAGGCCTTGCCCCAGTTCAGCCGGCCCTGGAGGCGGGGACTCCTGTGCAGGCCGGGATTCCTCTGTTTCATCCTCCGAATCGGAATCCCAGGCCATCACACCATCCTCCCAGGCCCCCCCCTCAACCGAGGGTCCGGACCCGGCTTGCCGGGATACGTCGCATGGAACTCTCGGAGGCAGGCAGGTGCATGGACATTGGCCGCTGGTTCCCAGGAACGGTCCTCCGGTCCGTACCCTTCCAGTCAATGAGATACTGCAGCTTTCCCTGCGGTATCGGGAGTCCAGGATGCGTTCCACCTCGTACTCAGGCTCTCCCCGAACCAACACTGGCTGCGGTCGGGGACGGTTCTGGTGGAACTCGTCGGGTGGGGCCACCGGACTCAAAAGGGACCTGTGGAAGACCGGGTGAACCTTCAGGGTTGCGGGTAACCGGAGACGGAATGCCACAGGAGAGATTTGGTCTACGATAGGGAACGGGCCGGTGAAGCGGGCGTCCAACTTCCGCGAAGGTCGAGAGGGGTGGAGGTGGCGAGTGGAGAGCCAAACCAGGTCACCGACGCGGTTCCGGCCCCACCTGGCGGTGGCGGTCGGCCTGGGCTTTGTACGCTTCCTTGGCCTGGTGCAGTTGCTCCACCAAAAGCTGTTGCTGGGACTGGAGCTCTTGAAGCCACTCCGTCACCGCCGGGACCGCGGATGCCGGCAGCACCTCTGGAAACAGCCGTGGATGATAACCATAACTGGCCTGGAACGGGGTCTGCTGGGTGGACGCATTCACCGCGTTGTTATAGGCGAACTCCGCCAATGCCAGGTGGTCGACCCAGTCATCCTGCTGGTAGCTGCAGTAACACCGGAGGTACTGCTCCAGCACCGCGTTCGCCCGCTCCGCCTGGCCATCGGTCTGTGGGTGGTAGGCTGACGAGAGGCAGACCTCTGTCCCGAGGGTCTGGTGTAATGCTCGCCAGAACCGGGATGTGAACTGAACGCCCCGGTCGGACACCACGCGCTCAGGTAGACCATGCAGGCGGAAGACATGCTGAAGGTACAGCTGAGCAGTTTCCTTGGCTGTGGGTACAGATGGACAGGGAGCGCAGTGCACCATCTTGGTGAAATGGTCGGAGAAAACCAGAAGGCAGGTACAGCCACGAGACGAGGGTAAGTCCACTACAAAGTCCAACGAAACTGTGTGCCAAGGGCGCGGTGGAACTGGCAATGGCTGAAGTAGGCCGGGGGTCGCCCGGTAGGCCCCTTGGCGCGTCGGCAGACATCACAACCAGCAACGTAGCGAGCCACGTCAGCCTTCAGGCGGGGCCACCAAAACTCACGACTGACCAGATGGGTGGTCCGATACCGTCCAAAGTGCCCCGCTGCCGGGGCATCATGGGCCATCCGGAGAACCTCCAGCCGCAGTGGCCCTGGCGGGATGTACAGACGACCGTGGTGCAGCAGGAGGCCCTGATGCAGGACCAGCCCCGGATACTGTGGGCTGGACCCTTCAGCCAGCTCCCGGAGTCGTTCCTGGGCCCAAGCGACGACCCGCTGCTGTTCCCGCACCCGAACCTGCAGTGGCTGCGCCTCCTGGGTGGCCAGGAATGCGGCCGGAGGTAGGATCGTGGCGGGTTCTGCTTGCTGTACCGTGTCTGCGTTGTCTTCAGGTTTCCGGGACAGGGCATCCGCCTTCAGATTCTGAGAGCTAGGGATGTAGCGGATCCGAAACTGGAACCGGGAAAAGAACAACGCCCACCGGATCTGTCTTTGGTTCAGCTTGCGGGTGGTCTGGAGGTACTCCAGGTTCCGGTGGTCGGTTCT